TTTCCAATTTCCACCCAATTTTCAAGGATTAATACTGGTACCAAACGGTGAGGACATGGGTTACTCGTTCGGCGACACACCACCGGCACCAAGGAGCAACTATACAGTTCCTTTAGGACATCGAACCACGGCGAAACAAGCAAGAGAGGATACAGTTAAACCTCCATCTCATTCTTGGGGAATTTTCTTCACAATTCTAGGCACAGTTTTGCTCGATTTCGACGCAGATGCTTGCCAGAGTCCAGCCAGAGCTTATTTACTCGACGTCACAACACCTGGCAAGTAAATGAGCTTATTATTTCTGTCTAGAAGTATGAATTGACGTCAATTATAATATTGTCAATTGTTAAAACCGAAATAACATTAATATAATCATTTCTTTTTTAAAGATGACCATGCTAAAGGCTTAAGTACGTTCACCATAATGGCGGGCTTAGGAGGTTTCATGGGATATGGTCTAGGTGGCATTAATTGGGACGCCACTGCCATAGGAGTTATGCTAGGTGGACACCTTCATGCTACTTTCACCTTGATTACCATTATTTTTGTTATCTGCGTTTCTTGCACCATCACCAGTTTTAAAGAAATTCCGTTAGAATTGTTGGAAAGAGATGAATATCAACAGTTACATGAACAAAAGGTAAAATACAAAAACGTGTGAAATTTATGGATAAAAATGAAGGCAAGAAAATGGAAAAATAGTATCAATCGATTTCTTAAATGTATATATATTTTTTTTTTTTAATTTTGTGTATTGGAATTGATTTAGATTACTAGCGAAGAGAAAGAAGAGGAACAGACAGAGCATGAGAAAATTACTACCGATGAGTGCACGACTTATGGCACTTTGGATAACGATCAAGAAATTGCTATCAAAAAGGATGTGAGTTAAAAGAAACTTTTTGCAAAAGAAAAATAACAATAAGATAATTATATTTGTTTGATAGGAATTTGTCCTGAAGCCTCTTCCAGTACAAGAACCAGAGAAAAGGGCTGGCCAAGTGCCTGTGATTCCAGATGTAGCCACACAGGATGGTGATTGCATGAAACATGATTTCGATGAGAATGCAGAAGGAAATCCAAAAGCTACGCTCAGAGAATATCTCCTTTCTATCGTATATATGCCACACAGTCTTCGTATGGTGTGCCTAACTAATTTATTCTGTTGGATGGCACATGTCTGTTACTCCTTGTACTTCACAGACTTTGTTGGAGAGGCTGTTTATGGTGGTGATCCACAGGTTACAATATGCAATACTCTATAAATAAATGTATACTCATATTCTTAATTTTCTATTTCCATTTCTTTTTTTTATATAAATTATAGGCTCCAGAGGGTACCAAGGAAAGAGAATTGTACGAAAGTGGTGTTCGTTTTGGATGCTGGGGAATGTCTATGTATTCATTGTCCTGTTCATGTTATTCACTGATCATTGAGAAGCTTATATGAATTTTTTACATAAATCAGTCACTATAATATAAAATAATTTTTCTAGTAAAAAAATGTCCGGTGTAATTTATTTTAACAGAGCCAGGAGGGTGTACATCTGCGGCTTGTTATTCTACAGTACTGGCATGATGATGATGGCGTTGACGAAGCATCCCGTGGGGGTGATCGTATTCTCCTGGACCGCAGGTGTCATGTACTCCACGTTATTCACGATGCCGTATCTTCTAGTTGCACACTATCATGCCTCATCAACGGTGAGTACTGTACATCGGTGATATCTATATATGATAAAAGCAATCCCCTAAGTGATCAATCAAGGAACACTTCATCTTGAAAATTGAGATGAAAAAAAAAAGTCGCAATCAAACGAATGGATCTTGAAAATGTATCCATCCCCGAGGGAATATTCTACTTATTTTCCTTAGTCCTTCAAACGTAAGAATAAATTCTTCTCCATCCCATAATTAAATAATTTAGCCTCAATTCCAGTACCATAAACACTCTTTTCTCTAAGCTTAAAATAGAGTAAGAAGAATTTAATAAAGTGTAATAGCAGAATATGTACTCGTTTTCCTCAGTATTCTGGTAATAATTCTTAAAAACTAAAAACAATTCATCTGCAGCACACAATTAACTTTAATTTCAATTCTAGTATCATAGAGATTTTTCTCTTTAGGAGTAACATAAAGTAAGAATAATTTAATAAGGCGCAATAGCACACTGAGTTTGAATATAATACTATTAAACATGGTGTAACATAGTATAACAGACAGCCGTGCGTGTGTATCGAGCAGAAATCGAATTAGTGGGCTTTGCAGTTCGAGGTGACAGCCGAGGGTGAAGCCGTTCAAAGCGGAGGCGTGCGTGGTCTTGGCACTGACGTCGCGATCGTCTCATCTATGGTGTTCCTGGCACAGTTCGTGCTCTCCTGCTGTTTGGGAACGATCGTCAGTAAATCTGGGACCACCACAGCGGTGGTCTGCGTGGCAAGCACCCTCGCCGCCTGCGGAGCCATTTCTGCAACGCAGATCATGTATCTAGACCTTTGAGTATGCTTCTCTAAAAAGAGACTTTAATTATTTTTACTTGCAAATTATTGTTACTCCTAAAATTACTTCTGAGAGAATTGGAAGTATCTCTAAAATTGAGAGATATTGATCATTTTTATCATTAAAAAGGATTCTGTTACTCTAACGTTCCCAGAATTGAAATTTGAATCTGCCTCCACGTGAAAATTAGCCCTAAAATTGAGACGTTGATTATTTTTTTTTTTAAATGAATTATCAAAAAATTTTATTATTCTAATATTCTCAAAACTAAAATTTGAATCTGTTTCTGCATGAAGATCAGCACAATTATTATTTTCCTACGTGAGAACAACCTGTATCTTTAAATATTTCGAAAAAGAAATTTTACTTGCTTTGAAACACCCTATAGAAAGGATAAAAATAATGGATAATTTGAATTTCTACAAGATTTTTCTGTTGAGAGGTATAAATGTATATGTGAAAGTCTCTTTGATTAATGGTCTCTCCGTGTGATAAGAATGTAACAATGGTAACGATGCACAAATAATGGCTCCGTGTATCTAAATCTATATGGTTCAAGGAAACTTGTAAATAAATGTAACTTTTAAAAACATAATAAAACATATGAACGAACGAAGGATATACCTAAAATAACTTACATGTCACCTTATGGTTTCAAGCCACATATTTTGAGGCCAGCTTTTGCTTCCCTGGCAACCAGTTTACTCAAGTCAGAAATGTACTTTTTAATATATTCATCATTATCGAGATTCTGTGAAAAGAAAAAAAAAATGGAATTTCTCCTTTTACATAAATTCAATTCCAAAAATTCGACTTTCTCTATTCATTTAAAAAATTATGAGGAAAAAATTGAAGGAAAAGAAGTTTTAAGTTACATTCAAGAATGGAATTATAAATGAATCGCCACATGAAAGAAAGAAAAAAACGATTCTCATACCTCTACAATTTCGTACTGCTTGTCTTTAGAAAATACAGGATAAGAGAAGAATATTCCTGATCGAACACCATAAGAGTGATCAGACAATACACCCATAGAAGTCCATTCATTTTCTGGAGTACCATTCCACAAGATTTTACAGTGTTCCGCTAAACAATAAGCTATGGACCGGATGTTGCAAGGTCTGCTGGAGAACTTTCGAATAATCTATGGAAAAAAAGATATAAAATCCTGGTTAACATTGAATTTTATTTTACCATCTACAATGACTATGTTCCATTTACAACTAGTTCATTCACGACTTCGTGCACGATTCGTCGTAATAATGTTTGAAACTTTAACAGAGTTGAAGTAAAGTGAGAGATATACCTAGTAAAAGCTTCTTCGCACCCTTATCATTCACTCGTGTCGCTCTAACGAGTTTAATAATGCTCGTTTTACGTCGATGTCAAATTTCAGATAATTTACTTATAGGTGTAAATATAATAATAGTAATAATAGTATACATATAATAAATATTACGTATAATAGAAAACAGAATTGAAGAAAAATAAAAATAAGAAAATTAATAAAAAATCGAATTTTTAATGGTTTTGAATAAATCATAAGGCGGAAAATTGAAGAACGAGGAAGATAAAGCTCTTACACGTGGGAGACCATTCCTGATCCAAACTTTAATACCATCAGTCAAAGTATTCCCATTCGTGAAGAATACGTATCTGCAATCGGGAAAACTGTACATACCATTCGAACCCCAAATTATTATGTTCCTCACTTCCGTTGGAAGGCATCGCATTCGATTGGCAATCTGAAAATAAAATTCCTTTTTGAGCAAAAATGAAGAAGATTGAAATTGGAATTAAATTGAATTTTAAAAGAGATAAAAATAATGTGAATTTTTGTGCAAATGATACCTGAGCTGTAACAACGTTCAAATTAATTAAAGACAGTGTACTTATATTCTTAGGTGAGATAGATTTCGCATATCTGGATATAATGGTAGCAGCAGTGTTTCCAAGGACTATTATTTTCGCGTCCTTTTTCACATACTTGTCTATAGCCTCACCCTGTGGATGACAGAAAATAAATGTCCTCGAATGAACATTCTAATATTGAATTAAATTGATGAAGGATCAATAAGTACATAAAACTTAGACAAGCGAATGTATTCCGTGAAAAATGATTCGGCGAACTCCTCACGTTTGAAGCAATATTCTCTTGCGAAACCGATGCAAATTACAACGTCTGCGTCTTTGAATTGGAGCGATATATCTTGGCCGTAACTAATCTCTGTGATCATAAAATAGCTATGTTTATATAAAACAGAAAAGGTCATTTTTTCCATACTTTAACATTCAAATTGCTTAGTATCTCAATACTTTGGTACCTTGATAACTTGGTACCTTGGTATTTAATAGCTTAGTACTTTGGTATCTTAATAGCTTGGTGCTTTGGTACCTTGGTATCTTAGTAACTTGATACCTTAGTACCTTAATAAATTACCACACCTCACATCCCATTTGAATAGATAATGATTTCTATTAGTCTGAGCCACATAATTTAATGCTCTGAATAAAATTAAATCGAATCGAAACAACTTCTGATCGATCGATTTGTCGATCTGTTCGATTGATCGATTACCCTATGAAATTAAATCTGACGCACATATTCATTACCTTCATTGACTCAAATTTTTGTGCAAGAAAAAATGAAATAAAGATACATAAATGTATCAGGATATTATGGCACACGATTATGTTTACCATTCAAGACATTAGGACCAAAAGAGGTGAGTTCGATCGCAACGCTTTCCAGAAAAGCCGCCCTGCCTGGTTGCTCGTACAGACTGACCAAGAGAGATTGATTTTTCCCGAACACATTATCAGTCAGTACCCTGTACAGAAACGTACGGGCTATTTCCGTTGTGCTGTCTGTGACGACGATTTTCAAAACATCTTTATGCCGTGAATAATTTGTTACTATACGTTCGTTTCTTTCTAAATTCATTTTATCTACTTTATCAAATGAATATCGTCTTCTTTTTTAAATGAATTATAAAATAACTAATTCTATATAAAATAGACAATATTGTATGATAGATGGGTATGATATTCTTATGTTTAATTAAAAAAAAAAAGAAAATAGTTGACAAGAGTTTCATATATGCGTAACCAAAAACAAAAAAAAATAGTCAGAGTGAAAGTATCTTTTATTATGTGCGCAAATTATTAATACATTTTTCCAAAATCTCCTTCTTAATACGTGGATAGTCCGGATTCTGTTTCAACACTTCATTGCACGCCTCTATACCGTCTGCGTAAGCTTTCGCTTTCATTGAACAATAAGCCAGTTTATATGCAACAGTCAATTTAGTCTTGCCTCCGTATTTCCATGCTTGATTGTACTGTGATGCAGCTTCACGATAATTTTGTTCCTTTTCTGCAATGTGTCCAGAAAGTTCGTGTGCTCTGATACATGTAGCATTATGTTGCAAGACACGTTTCAAAAGATCATTTGCCAAATCGTATTTACTAGATTGCACATAGATCTCTGCCAGTAGTAGCCAACAACGTTCAAGGTATTCAGCATCCTCGAAGGTCCAAGTGTTCTTGCTAACACGTTTCAAGTGATTTCTTGCTCTGGGTGTTTGTTTTAGAAGAATATGGGCCATCGCCATCCCCAGAGCTGGACCAACATGATCTCTTAGGGCCTCTTGGCTAGCTAATGCTGTGCAATCTTGCAATGCCTTTTCAACGTTTGATTTTTGCTTCGTTGCCAGCAGAAAGAAGTTGCTCAATAGTCTATGGGTTAACATCTCATGTGGACTGCCTTTAGGATTCAGTTCCTGGAATAATTAACAAAAATTAAGAGAAAATATTCCTTTAATGTTATACTTTCATTGAATTTAGATCTATCATCAGTTTTCTGTCTTTCTCTGGGTACCTGTAGCAAACGAAAAGCTGTCTTCAGAGCCATAGTCCTAGAATCTTGATACTCAGAGTCATCATCGTTAAAGACTTCGTTTGAAAGAGAAGAATCATCATCAGGGTCTAAACAAATCTCGATCATATTGTATATCGCTTGTTGACCCCATTCAGGATCTCGTCTCGCGAAATTAAACTGACGAAGCGCAGAATTCAATCGGCCCATACGCCAATCCAACAAACCAGCACAGTAATAGTAACCGGCTGTTAGTTTCGCACCACTCATTCCTACTTCTGCTCTATGTAGCCACTCCTCAAGATCATCCATGTCTCCTGAAATCAACGTACAGATGTCATAAACAAGTTAAACACCATGTATCAAATCAGAAATTCATTTCTGCAACGCAAGTTCACCTGTTCTACGAGAAACTTCTATCAACCTTGCAAGTGCAGTCCAATACGTTGGCTGTTTCAGCAGCAATTGTCGAAAATGAAACGCTGCAGTCTCGAAATCAACTTTTCTGAATGCTAGATCCGCCATCATTATCGAAGCTGGTTCATTGTTTGGATCTGCGTTCAACAGGGCTGTGCAGCTCTGGGCACATCGATCCAAATTATTTGTCTGTTAATTTAAAGTACAGTTATTAATAAACTCATCAAGTTATACTGCAAATCGTGATCGTGCTGTTCACCTGCATGTAAAGCTTTGCTAATGATAATAAAGCATTCACATCTGCAGACTTATGATTCAAAGCTTCCTTATAGTACATTATAGCTTGATCATAGTCTCTAAGAGAGGACGAATAATCCGCCATTGTTGAACAGATATTAGCCAACAGTTGCTTCTCATCATCGGAGCTGGAACTTGTCATACGCTGCATGTATCTGTGCTGATTCTCCTTAGCTTCCTTCAATGCTGTTAAAGCACCTTGTATATTGTCTGCCTTCTCTCTTGTTTTGGCAAGCAACAGTAAAAGCTGGCCACGCACTTCTAGACTTTGTAAGTCAAAATCTCGACGGCCCTCTGAAATTTAAAAATAAATATAAAAGAATTGAAATGTAGAAATGCTTCAAAGTGACTTCTACCTTGTAGTTCTTGGACCAATGTAACCTCTGCCTTATCATACTGTTTCATTGTTATGAAAAGTTTCGCTAGATCCAATTTTAAACTCTTAAAATTCTCTTGTTTCATCACATCTCGGTAATAATTAATGGCTTTTGTATACTGGTGCGTTTTCACGAGTGCCTTTCCTAGCTTACTTGCTATTTCTACTTTGTTCGTAGGATTCTGCTTCAGAGCTTGTTCATATGCTTCTATTGCTCTTTCTGGTTCTTGTATAGAAACATATGCATCACCTAACATACTGTATGTCTTAGAACCAGGACAGTGTTCCACTAATTCTCTGAAAAATAAAATATTTTCAACTAAATTTATGAATAATAGTAATTACACAGATATTCAAATTTGTAAAGAACAAACCTAAAGCACATGGCAAAAGCGAGCCGATCCTTTTTGTACTTCAAATTGATCTCAGCTAAACGTGTATGTGCTTGCAAATAATAAGGTTGATCTGGAGTTACTTTGGACAAACACTCAATGGCATTATCCAACTCACCCATTTCTAAAACTAATTCTGCATTTCCTATTAATATTCTACCTTCCTCAGTAGTGTTTTCAAGTTTCATTTTTGCATCTTGCATAACGGTAATTGCCTCAGTGAATTGTCTCATTTTGATATGTGCAGAAATTAATTCAAGATACAAAGTAGCCATGTCTGACGTTGAAATATCCGAAATTTCTGAGATATTTTTATTCGATTGCAACCCTACATATGACATAGCTGCTTGGAAGCTTTTTATCGCATTTTCTATATCATGATTCTCTTTCTGAACCATACCTATAATTAAATAATAAATCGGATCGTCCCTAATTTTGAAGTTATAACTTAAACCAACTTCAAGACTCTGTGAAGCCAAATGGTAGTTTCCCTGACGAGCTAAAATTTGACCCATTAGTAAATGAGCTTCTGCATTAGATGAATCAACATTGTCCAAAAGATTCCTCAAAATACTTGAAGCACCTTCTAAATCTCCACTCTGAATCTTAGCTTTGCTTAGTAATAATTGTGCTACACTCAAAGCAGGATATGCTTCTGATAATTGTTCCAATAAATATAAACTTGGCTCTTTATAATTAGTTGCTTTCTCTTCCAAATTTGTCGCATCGCTTGTGATAAAATAAATTAAACGTTGTTTGGAGATCTCTGAACATAAAGCAGGGTTTAATTTCCTCATATAGTTGTACCCATATGGCGTGTATTTACAATTGTTTAATATGATTGTAGCTGCATTGTTCAAATAGTTTAGCGCTCTAATCGAGTCATTCGAACTCAATTTAGCAGACATGAAGAGCAATTCTGCGTTCACCGAGTTTGACTGTATTTCCATCAGAAAATCTATTTGTTGCTGTGCCAAGTCTAAAGCATCAATCGAAGTGTCTAAAAGCTGGCAATGCGCTAATCCCATCAAAGCAGCAAACGAAGATTCGTTTATACGAACAGCGCTTCTATACCAATTTTCTGCATCTTTCACCTTATCTAAAGAAACGTATAAGTTCCCTAATTCGACCATAAGGTCTGCACTTCTTGAATTTTGTTGTAACATTTTTTCAATAGCTCTAGAAAGTTCCAATAAAATTCCTTGATTTTTGCATGCTAATCGTGAGAATAATTGAACATTATTGACAAGAACTGTTACATTCTTTGCTTCTGTAATTAATATATGCCTAAAGAACAACTGCAAATGTTTCAATCCATCGTTGTAATTTCCGTCTCTGCAAAGAGTTACAAATGCATATGCTTTTATGGCGTCCAAATTATTCGAATCAATTGATAATATTCTATTAGTAGTCTCTAGGACTTGATCCCAATCTTTTAATGCGAGCTGATTGGATAATTTTTCAACTAAAGGCAAACATAACTTGGGATAACGCACGATCAGTGAATTGAGCGTCAATATCGCTCCTGCATAATCATTGTGTTGTTGCTTGTACTTTGCAGATCCAAGTAAGGCATTTATATTCTTCGGGTCTTGTTCTAAAATAATATCGAACAAACTCGGCTGGTTTAAAATGTTTTCATTTACAATAAATAAATCCACCCAACCTTTGGTCATTAAAACATTTACATTGGATGAATCGAGTTTATAAGCTCTCTCTATGTAATCTTTAGCTTTGTCAACTTTTCGAGATAAAAGCAACACGGTGCTTGCCAGTACCAATGCCTTTGTACACGATTTTCGTCTTTCATCTCTAATTCTTGTTTCAATTTGTATCACAGTGGCTCTTTCAACACTTTCACTGTTTGCATATGCAATATTTTGAAGCAGCAATGCTGGTAATGCAGTATCTGCATTATTTATAAGACTTGAACTTTCTTTTATAGCTTCTTGAACTTTCCCAGTTAATGTATATGCAAGACTTAAAAGAATTCTTAGGTGTTCACTCATTGGATATACCTCACATGCTTCTTTACAGTAAAGTAACATTCCATTATAGTAAAATTGATGGCAGAACCATTCAATTAAGGTAATATACTCTATTTCCTTCAATAATTTTTCAAGATTGTACTAATTGTTGTAGTACAGATATTTATTAAGAAGAGTATATTAAAAAATCTTCTGGGTCAGGTAGTTCATATATAATATTGGGATCTAAGGGTTCTGAATCAGGTCCTTCTAAAATATGTGGTGGTCCAACAATAAGTTCTTCAAGATCTGGATTCTTAACAGCAAGATAATACTTTTGCATGTATTCACATGTCAAGTACATATAATAATAATTCACAATTGCATAAGTAAATGCTGTCTGAAAATATAATTTATAACAAAAAGTGTTTATATAATATTGTAAGAAATTTTAAAATAAATTCTACCTCTGCAAGTAGCCGTGCATAACCTTGTCCTGTGTATCTATATGGTACATTAATCACTTGCATATCCAAGACTTTTCCTTCAGCCTTATATTGTAATACTGCTCTTGCTAATAAAAAATAAAAGAATTAAATGCATTTTAATATCTTATTTATTCTTACAATATAAAAGTACGTTTTTTTTTATTTTTGAAAGTGAAGAAATATAGGAATATCTCAAAGTAATAATTTCTCAAATAATATATCTTACAACTGTCATCCAATTTTACGTAAAAAAGACCTCGTTTTTCATTATGATGTACTGTGTAATAAAATCTGGCATTTTTATTTCGTTGGATTTGCGTTAACATAAACAACGATAATTTAGATATGTAATTCATACCACTTGTTACATTTAAAATACTGACAATATACGACACTTTTTAAACGTATTATATACTTACATACTCATTTAAATTTTGAAATTACATTCCTTATATAATATAAGTTTTGAATGTTAGAGAACTTTAAGGTTAGGTTTTTGTTGTCAAACCATTGCTTAGCAACAAACTTGACAGTATATCTAGACTATAAAACAATATTGGTATATTGTAACCTTTTGTAAAATACATTTTGTAAACTTTTACAATAAATAATTCATTTTTTCTTAAATAATTACATTTCTTCATTATTCTTGATGTTGAAATCCTTTCCTCGATTCCTGTGGTGGTCTGAGAGTTCCATCTGTAATTCACATAAAACGAACATTAATTTTTCAAATTTCAGTACAAGTTATAAACAGTTTCTAACTAATCTACTGCATGCAATTGTTAACTTAATGTTAAATTAATAAATTAAGGTGTTTTATTAAGTTAAATCATGCAACAAAGTTATTTAATACTTCCAATAATTATAAACTACCGCCTAAATTGTTATTTAACAAAAAACACTAATTATTCTACAATTGAAGTACTTGAAAATAAAGTAGCAACTTAATTTTACTGTCTACATTATTAGTAATGTTAAAGTAATTAAAAATTTATTACAAGTATCAATTTTAAACTGCTTACTAAATGCAATTATGTTCTAATTTACAATAACTATTATTAAATACCGAAAAATTGAAAGAATTTCTATTTTAAAAATCAACTAACCTGATAATACTTCATTTCTAACGATGCACTCGACGATACTCTCAATCCTTCCGCTTTGAACACTGATGATAGATTGAACTGAACAATCTCTCTGGTCTTTCTTAGAACCCCCCAAATTAAACTCTTCCAATTAAAAATTGTGTGATTTCTAATGTTCTTCCCGTTGAAGGATTTTCGATTTAAAGTATGAAGTTTGTAACAATGTTTTCAAGCCCTGATAACAATTATTTGGAATAATTGTTGCTTAAGCACTCTAATTACTTGCATGTTTGTATAAATTTTAATTATTATTACATATAAATTAATAATTTTTCCCCTAATTTCATGTTTAAATGTCATATATTTATTTGTCAATAACGAAGTCTGTATTTAAATTTATATTACTGTTACAACAAGAGTAGATTATTCTTAATAACATAAATTAGGACACAATATTTATTGATGATGAAGAAGGCCCAAAAACATTAACACATATTTATATAACAGTACAACATCAACATAAATTTGTGTTGTTGCAAATACAACTTCATCAGGATGCAATTCTATTCTCCTTCCACCCATAATTGTTTGCACATCAAAGTACAAATACTAGAAAACATATAATACAATTTGCTTTTTACTTCTGAAACACCTTTTTTTAAAGTGAAATGAATTTCAATAAAAAGAAATATCATTATCAAAATATATACTAATTTTATATTAACCATTGACAGTAAGAACATTCCTATAACTGAAATCACTATATGTAATATTGTCATAACTGTAAATAGTGATACTATTGTCAATACAACAATAGCAACAATAGAAGCCAGTCCAACAATCATCAGGAGTCCTGTTCTCATTGTTAAATCAAACTGTAAAAGTGCTTTACATTACTTAAAACTTCTCAATTTTCTTTATGTGCCATATAAGAGTTTATGGTTGAAAATACCTTTGAAAATGTTGCAATAAGACCTATCCCTAATGTCATTACTGTTGTCATACCTAATGCCATCAAAATAATTTCAACCTCATAAAAGACAGATGCAAAAGCAGCTAAGTATGACATAGCAAGTGTCTGGAAATAATAATTGTTAGTAGTTGTCACTTCACTGCAGCTTCTCTAAATAGTTATTTTTAAAGACCTTACCAGTTTGCATAGCCATATGTAATTAAACGGTGGCTTACGTCTAGCTGATTCAGAAAATGATATAGCACAATAGGAAATGGTAAAACATACCCTAATAAAATAATAAATAATTATTCATTAGATAACACATCAAAGTACTAATAAAGTTTACATACAAGATTAATCAGTTAAGATAAATATTATTGTAACATCTCAAAGTCATAATGCTTACACAAACAAAAAAAATGCTATAACAGCAGTTGTAAATAATAACTGAAGTGTTAATAGACAAAAAACTTTTCTAATAAAACTTCTCCTCACTGTTTCTTCCTTAAAGTCACCTATGTAGTCTGATCCATCATCATCTGGACCCATTTGTCTTCTTCTTTGTTGCTCAAGCCACGTTCTATATAATTGTTCGTTCTCTCGTTCTCTCCTCTCTACCATTTCATCCGTAACCGTAGTAGTATACGGTCCCTAATATAATAGGATGCATATCATTAATTAATAAATGGATGTTCAAATATGTATAATTTTTTACTCTCACAGTTTTAATTTTCTGTCCTTTGTACAAAGGGGGTAATTGTGGAGGACCCGGTATAAATCTTTGTGCTTCTTGATCCACTGGCATTGAAAAATTGTATTGATGACAGTTTAATAAATACTTAAATCAGCAATCATATACTAAATCACTGAAGAAATGTATATATTAAGCACATGATAAAATAGATAAAATACTTTCGGTATTAGTGTACCGCACTATTGTAACTATATACACATTTTGTAACTATATACTTACAATAAAATTGTTTGCTTCTTAATATAATTTAAATAAAATATAAGAACATTAATGTGGACACTTAACATAAACATATAAAATGTCAAACTAATAATTTGCGAATAAACAAGTGAATGTATAGTGCAATGCAAACAAAATTAGTGTGAGGTAACAGTGTACAAATATAATACATATACATATGCATATATTTACTATGCACATTAAACATTGACACTATTAAATAAGATAAAAAAATAATTTATTGTCAAAATAAAAGAAGAAAGTAGAAAGCGAAAGTTGTTTTAATTCTCTTATCATAATATAGTTCATTTATACAATTAATATATATCAATACACATATATTTCTTTTTTTAACAATAACGTCTTTTAAATCATTCGTTTTAAAGATAATTGTAATTGTATTGTAACATATACATATTTATCTTATAAGTTGTGAAAAGAATAGTGTACTGTCTTTGGGTCTTTTTTATCATTTTTTTTCATTTCAACTATACATTCAACTAAACAATTTCATAACAAAGATTATATATTATTAACAAAACATACAGAGTGTTTCTAAGAATTTATAATACTCCAAATTAAAAATATAATTGGTCACATAGTTCTGATTTTACACAATGTATAATTCAGATAAAATAGTATACAAAAATTGAGCAGTATTTTATATATGAAAAGTATTCAAATTTTGCGTCTGTATAAGATTTTGACAATAAATATTTAAGAAAGAAAATATTTTCGTGTATTATAAAAAATTATGCAATTTTAGAAACATCCTGTACGTATATATACAATAATAACACAGCTACACAGGTACATACAGAAGTTTACTTGAACATAGGATGTGCGCTTAAATTTCTGTTACGTGTACGTAGTAATTAATTCTTAATTTATTGATAAACGATATAAAAACATGATATTATCATACAATGCTAGCAAATTTTTAGAATTTCAAGTACATTTCGTTAATAGGAAATATCATTGTAAAAGATAATTTGCAGATATACCTAAAATGATTTGCATTTTTCTTTAACTTGTTATAAAACTATGAATTAAAAAAAGTTTCCCAACTATATCGAGTTGCAATTACTTTTATGTGTCTCATTAATTTCGTATGTATTCTAAAGCACATCATACCGCAGAAAGTGACAATATGTTTAAAAACCTTCCACAATAATATAGATTATAATGATAATTGCCTATAATGTCAAACAACGTGTCAGTTATCATCGTGTATATTATTCAAAAGCATAAGAAATGATTTTTATGGCTTTCGCTAACATTATAACATTCTGTGGAATTCAAAACTGGCACGTTTTATGATGAAAAATAACGACAGATCGTATAAAATGTGATAAATTTAAAGCATATCATAATAAATATAAAACTATATACTGATTCTTCTGAACCTTTAGGTGATTCTGATTAAGCATCAGTCTTACATATAGTAGTTTGTAGAAAACTTTTAGAATATATATTTATATAGAAGTTTAGCTTGCAAAGCTTAGTATTATTTATCGACGCTCAGGCGTTATCGGTTCAATTAACTGTATTTAAGTATTAAAGTATGTATGTATTCTTTATGTGTAATCTATCTTTATGCTTTTCTGGTATTACATCCCGCATTGATTAATTTGCTCTTGCATTTTATTGCATAAAAACTGTGAAAAAAACATATTGCTTATATTTTATTCTTAATTTGAAATATTAATAATCAACCAGGTAACTTACCTGTTTCATATTATAATCAGGTATGAAAACTATTTTTGATTGATCCGCACTACCAAATAGGTTTCCTAGTTTCTTCTTCCTATTAGTATCCTTAACAAATATTTGAACTCCCTTATCGACTATTTTCGGTAATTCGCTCATATCTTGCCACGTGTGAGTCCAATCCACCTATATATTAAAAACAATTAACCATTTGTTGCTAATTTGCAAAAGTAAAATATGCAAAAAAAAAAAAAACTAACCCGCCATCCACCGAATAAGTCACTGTATTCTAAATATGCTATTCTCTTATCAGTAAGCAATAGTACGTTTTTGTTAATGTATATATGATAAAAATAAATATCAGTATTCGCATATTTTCCTTTCTCCAATTCCTGTAGAAAAAATTTTCCATTAATAACATCGGTGCATAGTTCAGGATATTAAATACTTACAATTAAGATTTTATGTCCCTCTGCTTCTTCCCTAACATAGGATCTAACTAGATTATCTGGTTGGAAAAATCTAGGTGGTCTGACTTTCTTTACTTCTTCGTTCAATTCAGTTGCGCTAAAAAGTTAAATTATTTTATTTATTCATGTGCTTTAGTTCAGTGTATAGGATTTATGGGTTTATATACACAATTTCTTTTTATACCGTTTCACTGCTCCAAACGAACCACTGGCAAAATCTATGACACCAGCAGTTGGTCTGGTAACAAGCCCAACAACACCTTTTCCAAACCCTTTGAAAAATCCTTCCACCCCTTCTTCTTTGGCACCCGATATGGGTTTCATTACAACACCGGCTACACCATCGACGACACCCTACGTATCATACATATGATTTATCTTTCTTTTTATCTTAAGGAGAGAATTCTTCCAATTTTTATTCTTCATATTCACATACCATCACCAAGCCCTTTCCACTACGAGCAAGGCCTTCTTGTAAATTAGCTGGTTGCTTGTTAAGCTGCTCTTGTCGCTTTCTCTGATAATCTTTGTCAAACGTCAAAGCAGCTAAGCCTTTACCTGTAATAAAAATAATAAGTTTAGAAACGACAGACAATAATCGTTTAGAATAGAATAATATGAAATCTAGTCGTACCCATAGCTCCAGTTATTTTAGAGACTGCTCCAGCCATTCCTCCAACAGTATGACCCAACATGCTTCTCATACCAAGAAACAAACCTTCTGCAAATTCTCCAGGCCCTTGTATAGCACCTTGGAAAGGTTCATAAAACAAATCTTCGATACCTTTCATGGTACCCACTACAAGACCATAAGGATTGCCTATCACATCCAGTCCCAAAACGAGAACATATACTTGTTTGATTGCTTGTCCCACATAGTGCATTGTTGCTTCAGAAATGAGTTGTTTATTGGTCATGAAAGTGTATTCTCTTTCAAAATACGCTAGTCTGTAAATGAGACAAAAATAAATCATTTATGCATCGTACATGTCAGCAACTATAATTCAAATTTAATTATGAGAATAATTACTTGAAAACAATATCGTTAATATCCGTTAAAGTAACACCTATTCCTTGTAGCAATACGTTTAATACTTGAGGCACTGCAGAGGGTCCACTACTGCTACCAGTCATTGAAAAACTTATATGTATCTAAGAAAATGATATAATTAATTAGAGAAATGTGATTATATTAATTAAAAATATAAAGATACATACCTTTAAGGGTGAAAAGTGAAGCAAATCGAAAAAGTTCTTCTGTTCAGCTGTAGTAATTAAACTAACGTGGTACATTAGTGGTTCGTCGACCAGTTTCATATCTAATTTAAACAATTTGCTCTAAAACATACAAGGAAACAATTATTATAGTGTTTCAACATTATATATTCTACATGTACAAAATAATACAACTCACTTCTTCCGTATCGTTCATTTCGTTCGTTTCAAACAGCCCCATAATTGCGTTAATAAATACAATGTCTACTTTCACATGAAATTCTTGAATGAGAACTTTAAAGTACCGGAATTGCTGTACGTTACTATGTTCTAGTAATCGTTTAACCATACTCAATTCAGCAAATGGTTTCATAACTGTTAAAAATAATATTATATTGCAAATATAATGAAATATAGTAATATTATTATTTATATTTCAGTTTTTTGCACAAAAACTTACCAGTACTACCTGTAACGCTTTTAGGGGGTGGAACTGGTGCCAATATAACCGGGAAATTACAGTCTACAAATTGATTATCAATTTGAAGTCTATTGATCTTTGCATGCAATTGTACTTGATGCAATGACGTGCGATATTGTAGCCATAATCCAGTTTGGAAAGTACGTCGTAAACAACGACGATGTGGTTTCAACAATTCCATGTTCAAGTAATCGACCTGAGATTGAAATCCATAGTTATAAATTATGAAGCAGAAATTGTAAAACGATAAATTATTAATCATTATTTGTATACATTACCTCTAATTTTGGTTCAAGCATTATTCTTTGCATTGGATTTTTCCCTATCTGTAGTTCGCGCATATATTTCTGATAACCTTCCTCTATAATATTTATATCTTTAGCGCTGAGACCGCGCCAACGATGGGTAATAGATTTACGTGTTTCCCATATAATTCCAGAACTAAATGACAAAAATAATAGTTAAAACTCAGATGATAAAATTCTTAAAAATGAATGTCATAAATCTTTCCGTTAGCAATTTACCTAGCTATACACAGATATAACAATTCTGATTTTGTGATGTTATTAACAAGGGAAAATCCAACACCGTGAATACTTATTGTGACTTCTTGATCTATAGTTTCGCAATCACCGGCTAACTGACAGTCTCCTGCAATTTTCATGTTTGTCGTGAACAGAAGTACTCGCTGTGTACCGTCCAAAAATGACACATAGAATAATTCTTCTTCTATATCTGATAGTATGAAAGTTCCTAAAGTATCCTAAGAAAATAAAATAAAATTTTTAGTAGTATTAAATCTTAAATTGATTAATTTTATTAAATATCGAATTTTTACTTTTCTGAGAGTCTCCTCGATTTCTTTTTTATTGCTGTCTTCCCACACTAATTTCCGTGGGCCTGCGGGGTTTTCCCAGGTATAAAACATTCTATTGAATGACTGTACGGATCTATAAAATAATTTGCATTTTCAATTTTATGATTTTCGTAATAAAATTTCTTTTTTTCTCAATAAATTAACAGACCTAACATTCAATGAACCTTTTTCCCAGAAATTAATTGTGTGTGAAGTATGATTAATAATTAGTGCTGGGGCATTTCCGTGAGTGTAAAGAGATAAGGAAATATAAATTCCACCTTCACTTATTTGTATATCCACGTTAATTCCACCATACTGTTAAATATGTTTAAATTTAATTTACAAGTAACTCTATATGTGTAAATTGTGTATTAAGTAAAAGTAAAAATAGTAAACCTTATTATTTAATTTCAATAAAGTCGTGTGGCTTTCTGTATAGAGGAATGGTGCAGTTTTCTCGGGGTCACCCGCGATTCTAGCTCTTAGAGTCTTTTGTTCATGTTCAGAATGAGGCCATAAAGACGTGCATTCACCTGGAGGAACCTATGAATAGTTAAAATAATAAATAACTTTATTTGGAAACTAAAATTTATAACATATTGTAGAAAATAAGCTAAATAATTATTACCTTAATCATAGGATCAGCTGGTCTATCACCTTCTTGACATTCAATAAGAAAATGGGAATTATTTATCAGTACATAATATGGAGTAAATGTGATCTGTTTAGTTAAAGAATTATAAGTCAATTGATTGTGAACTCCAATCTGTAATAAGCAAAGAATATTGTTCATGTGTAAATACACTATTAAAAGTATAAAATTAGTTTGGCTTTCATGAATTAAAAATTGTAGAAAACAGTAGTAACCTGGTATGTTAGACCATTATATTTGCAAACAACTACACCCTCACTTCCTGCAACATCTATAGAGAATTTATCAGACCATTCACCATCTTCTACCCTAATCATGGCCTTCTTTTTACCAAAGAACACTTTAGAACGAAATGAGAACAATATTGGTCCCTTGAAGTTTTCTGGATGGTATAATACGTTTAAGTGGTCTTCACCAGTCTGAAAACATTTTGCATCATTAAATTGGTACTCCAGTGTTAATTATCCCTCAATAATTTAATTGGTCCGTGCACTAAAATGCAATTTATTGCAGTTTTAAACATATCTGTACAAAGACACGTTGCACTGTTACGTGAGCATTTACAATAAACAACAATTTGCCAACACCAGTTAGCTTTGTTTTATAAATTTGTTCATGTATCTCAGTATACAAAGCTTGAATTTATAAATTCTTGTATGTACCAAATTTGTTTCCATTTTTGAAAATTTTGTACAAATTTTGCATAAATTCATCATATGAATTTTTGCATAATATCAAATTGTTGCACTGCTTCCAGAAATGTGGTTTATTTTCATAACAATCATGCCTTGTGCATGCCTTACTAATATACATGTATCAGTGTACAAGCAGCATTTCACTATTTACAGTCAGAATTTATACATAGCATGTAAAAGTATGCGTAATGTTGCAAGATTATAATGCCAAAATAAGCCAACTAATAAAATGAATGAAACATGAATGAAACTTAGTGTACCTTTTTGTTAACATTGAAACTAATATGTGTACAAATAATTATCAATGAACTATTATGTCTTTTAATGAGGAAGAAGTGAACATTGATATGTAATTAGTAGGGAAGCACTGATCACAATATGAACCAAAGTATGAGTAACATATAAACACAGATAGTTAGTTCAATGTATGAAAAGTTTGTTCCACAGTTTGCAAGATTAAACCATCACCAATATAAAATGAAATCAGTATATCACCGAACGTGCTTTTTTCTTCCTCCTGTATTCTGCACGTGGTCGATGGGGTTTCACACAAACCAAATTCTGAAAGATACCTTTCTATGTATTTTCATAAGATTAATAATGACATTAATTTTCCCAAAAATTTGTATGAAAAAACCACTGAATATTTTGATTCTACCTGTGAGTGTTACTATGAATTGAACATAAATAAAAGTTTACTTTGAAAAGCTCTTTTAACATTCTGTACTACTCAACATGCTGCTGTTTCATTGTTACTCTAAAAAATTATGCTGAACTTAAACAAAAGACAAAATGAAAATTTTTCAAGTCTGAGTAAAAAAGATATACTTTTCAAAATAACTTTGATTTCTAATACTTTGAAATAAATTTTGCACATCAAATAATAGAGCCACCATTATATTATAATAACAATCTTTTAACGAATATTGCGTCCAAAGCATGAAAAATACTGTAACATGAAATCACTACCTTGATTGGACTTGAGTGTTCTTTGCCACCCTTACTTGATTTCTGTAAAATAATGTACTGAATAAGATATGACTGTACAAGATTAACAAATTGCAACATTATACTACTTCCAGCATGCTTAATATAGCATAGCACTTACATATAGCACAAAATATCGTAACTCAAGCATTGCATAAAGATATTAATTGCATGCCTAATAGAACTACTAAATGGGAATTGGCATTATTGTTTAACATATTAAAATATTTTATCGTGATATTATTAAATTATAACTAGAATTTCTATTTGAACGATCATACTAAATAATACTTCACTTAATAAATGAAAAGTATTTCACAATAAATTTATTGTGATTTGTTCTTTAAGTAATAAAATAAATTATAACTTACAAAAAGATTTTTTAAGCAAAAAAGTGTAGAAGTAAGATAATAAGCGAGATTTACATAAAGCAAAAAAAATAAAATTATCGTCGTTTATTTTAATGATTTAAGAACTATTTTGTTGATACTTACCCGGTAGGACAACATTAAGCCAGTTTTATTCAGCATCCAAAATGGACAATATAGTGCCATAACTATAGAACCATGTTTATACGATGTATGCATTCCTAAATCCATTATAACTTTCTGTGCACTGTCAAAAGACTCAAAAGACCAGACTGAAAATTCTGGTGGATTTGCCAATATTTCACCCCTACATGACCAATCTTTTTCTAAATAATTTGGTAGCTGTAACACATTATTAGAATTATACAACATTTCTTTTAAATGTTCACTGTTATAGAAATTCATTATCTTTTTACCTTTATAATTATGTAAGACTTTCCAGGATCAATAGTAGGAATCTGATAAGATGTACCAGCTTCTAAAAGCTTTTCTTGTACAGCTCCAGGTAGACATACAATAATATCGATAGGCAGAAAATTCTTTAAGTATACAGATGGGTACAAATGAACATTATAAATGGTACTTGCCATAGTATGTCGGGTAGTATTTTCAAAATATACCTGTTCTATTTCACCGACAACCTGTAAACGTTACAATGAATTGTTAATACGTGAAAATTCTTTGTTAAACATTTGAATTATTCTCTCTCTCTATTATGTTATTCTATTCTTCTTCATACTACTATCTAAATAATAGAAAACATGTTCAATGTTTAAAGCACAACAATAACATTCATGTTTTATAACACGAATAAAACATAAAATACGTGCAAAAAACACATTATATGGAATACTAAAGTGAAGATTCAACATCTATCTGAATCAGTTTACGCATAACTTGAAATTCGTAGGTATACCCATACGGTAAAGCATAATAATGAAATTAAAAAATTAGCAAAAATACATTGTACAAATTCGTTACTGAAATACAATTAAAAATAAAAAGTAAAACAATATCTATGAAGGTAACTGAATAAAACAGAATTTTACAGAGTAAAAGAATATAATTTTCTTCCGTAATTAAAAAACATATGAAACTCAATTTAATATAAAAATAATTAATTTGTTAGTTTTTCTTTCTTCTTGTTGTGTCATTGTATTATTAATATAATACATTTAACGATTGTAATTAAAATCATGCCAATCATTTTTCAGTCAGTCATATAGGGATTAACTAACATGTATAATCCTACAGTACTGTTTGTTACAGATACACATTCACATTAAAAATATTAACTATCTAATAGCAGTAGTAAAAATACTTAATTGGTCGATACTCAACCTATACTAACTAGCAATTGGTTCTCAAACTAGTTTATTAAAAACGGTAGTACCTGAATAGGTGCTTCCAAATATTTTTTGTGTTCAGAGGGTAATTTTTTCAAGCAAAGATGCTTGACGCAATCAATGAAACGACAGAATATGGATTGCCAGTTAATAGCATTCAATAATAAGCCAATAGTGTTGTTATTATATAAAATACTACCAACCACAATCATCACGAAACAAACGTAGGTAAAACATTGTGAATAACAATTGTGTTACACATACTATACAGTGTCAAATTTCGTGTAAGAAAAATAAAAATAAAACATAAGAATTCTCTAAGTGTACAGGAATAAAAATGAATGTGATTGAATTTGTTACCTTTATATAAAACGGTTCTGCGATTTCATGTCTCGCTCGACTTTCACATTTCATAAGCTTTGTCATACTAACTGTCTTTTGCAGATCTTTCCAAATAAATGGTTCTAATGAAACCATATAACTAGAAAGAAATTAATTTTTTAGACATGTAGTAATTATACTAAGTAATATAATTTAATGATTATATAAATTACCCATCAACGCTGAAAAATAGCCAATAAATATTTGTTGGAGTATATACAGCATCTAATGGAAGATTCAATTTACTATCCGGAGCAACAGTGCCTACACATTCCACTTCGTTTCCACGCTTAGTCATATAGTATACAGATATCGGTTGACTGAAATGATTGTGCACCTAAAATATAATTGAATTATTATTAGTAATTATTACCGCAATTTAACAGTGCAAATTTGTATATAATTTACCTGTAAAATACTTCTAAGAGTAACAATAGTACTTCCTTCATCTACAACAACGTCAGAAACAATACCCCATTCTTCAGAACCTTCTTTTCGATATTTCAATGAAAAGAATCTCTTATCAGCTCTTAGAACAGGTATCGCCAATGTGCCACTAATTTCTTTGAACTTTAAAAGAACATTACATGTCCATTAGTATTGTTTTATTTCAATTTTATTTAGATCAAATTTATACTTCAAATATATTACCGAAATAATGAATTTATCATCCTCCCGTTCTTTAATCGTGTCAGTTTTCAATTGATCTAGTAACGGTATTTCTGTTTTCGTAGTTTTGGGAGCAAGTTCCACTGAAGCACCAGATTCGAGAATCACTTCCATGTACGAATCTGTGGTATTACTAGTGAGCTTTGATCCATCGTTAAAAACCTAAAATATGAATGCATCTAATAATATTTCACGTTTTATATCATTTTAATACCTTCAATTTAATACCATAATTTCAAAAAAAGGTTGAAACCTTGAAATGACTATGTTCCAAATCCAAAACCATCGCTAAACCAGTTTCATTCTTCAGTACATAAGGTGCTACACTTTTTACTGTTCCTTTTTCACCAGCTTCCATAGCAGATGAAAATGCGTTACCAAGTTGTTTCAACACGTCAAGACAAGTTTTGGTTACAGTTATTTCCAAATTTTCCTGTTACAGTGTTATAAAAGTGTTACACAAAATGTGTAATTATAAATCAATGTGTAATCAACTTACAGTAGAATCTATATCGATAGACATTTTCGGAGTTTGATGAAATTCATCTGGCTCATTATCTGATGTGGGACTGATTGCACTCAGGCCTCTAGAGTCCGCTGACATATCGTTAAATTGAATCTAATACATAAAAAATGTGTAAAAAAACTGTAGAAGTTACAAATTTTAAATCTTAAAAAATAAAGGTGTTACTTTAGTCTTTAATTCCCAAGGTGTCGAAATTCGCCTTCCATTTCTAGTTCCTTCTATCGGTTCGATTAATGGTTCCCATAATGCTAGACAACTGTTGTAATAAGCCATAATCAATGACATTGTACATTCTATGCTCATCTAAAAATATTCAAGTTTTAAATATACAGCAAAGGATACCATTATTGAAGTGACATTAATGTATCTTACAGTTTTTGTACTCCAATCGTTGATGTTACTTTGGAATCCAATATGAAGCAGGAGCATTGGTAACGTTTTATTACCAACACCTGCTTCCAATGTAAAAAGAATCGTTGGTGCAGAAATAATCGCCAATTCTGATTTGTAAGCTGTAATATCCTCGTCTTCGGAGTATATAAAATCTTCTACTGCCTCTACTCCCACTTCTAAAGAAAACAGAATCAAAAAAAGTTTATATACTTTTTAATTAAACAAAAAAATTTAGATAAGTATATTTTTTTTTTTTTTATGAACCTGTTTTTATGAACCAAAAGTCACTTTCTTCAAATGGTGTTACAATCCACAATCCTTCATAATTCTGTTCAGCAACCACAATTTCTTGATCTTTTACTTCCGTTTTCGTGGCAGTCTGAACGACCTTATTCAATATTTCTATGACACCTGTAGATTACAAGTTCAATTAATATTTCCATTTTAACGTTCTCTTCAAATAATTTATTCAATTACCTGGTGAAACTGATACATGAATATCCGTACAACAAACGTCGATGTAAAGTCCTTTTCCTTCTGGTGTAGAGCCTGCTACGCTAACGCTGCATGGTCTTAGAACCTTCACAAAAACATTTTGATAAAATTTTACATAATTTATATATAGTCAGAAAATTTTATACAAATTTTTACCTGATATATCCAATCGCTTCTCTTCATTGGATTGTATATACCAGCCAATATTGATAAATCTTTTATAGATCCTGTTATTACTTGATGTTCATCCATTAAACGTACTTTCAGTAGCAATTCGGTATTTAATATGATACAATTTGAATTTATATCATCCATGTCTTCCAGCAGAATAATATCCGGTTTCTCAATGTGTATATTAATCGTGAACATCTTTTTAGTCGGTGGTGTAGCAGCTTGTTTTTTTTTAACCATCGGCTCGTTGTGACTCTTTGTTACATGTTGTGGTGCTGATTTATTCGTCGATGGTGCTTCGTTGATGAAAAAGTCCTTTATTTTCATCAGATAATCGAGAGACACGATTATGCTGAACGAGAAAACTCGAATATCGACGAATGTATCGTTAGGACTTTGTCTAATAGTCATGTCTAACATACTACGAATGGATTTTGATTCTTTCTCTACGTCATCGATGGACGGTACCGCTGTAGTTCTTTCCATGATTCTTATAAGAGAACCTTGTCTATTTTGGCGCGTATCGTCCAACGTACAATTCATCAGAAGAATGGAGGTTACCATTAATCCATCGGCGAATATTCTACCTTTTAACGCGAAATAAGTCAAACAGAATTTTGCCAATCCATTCTCTGGTAGATGGAGCAAAGAAGTTTGTGATTGCAGCGTTTTTGAGCCTCCTGTGAATAAACTAATCACAAGACTGTCCATAACAAATTCAAATTTGATAGACGTGTGCGCATGTATTTGTTCCTGGAAGTCTGTGTCTTCTGTACCTCCTGCAGTAGTTCTCTCAAACTTATCCGTTTGACGATGTTGTAAAATTTCAACTTCGAGTTTCTTTTCACTTTGATTGACACTCGATGTAAGCTTTTTGTCCTCAACCGTTTCGCCTAGGTTTTCTTCTAATACTTTCAGTGCAGTAACATAGTCCTCTTTGCTTATCAGTATACTAATTTTATTTAGTCTGCCAGACATATCGATGTCTGGTATAGAGGTAAACCAAGCAGTCGATAAATTACGTTTAATGAGTAATGTAAAACTGACAGGTTCTAGCAATAGTATTTCATGTTCAATCGAAAACTTTTCCATGTTTAATCTTACTCGTGATAATTTTAAATTTTGCAATTCAATCTTCATTTCATCCACAATAGGATTATCTCCAGTTTCGTTTGTTACTTCCAACTTCCTGAAAACGTTACATACAGTAAGATTACCCATGTCTAACGTTAAGCATTGATCACTTTTAGAATGCATCGGTACATATATAACAGGAGCCTTAATTTTTACCGCTAGACCAATACGTGTCGCACTTTCCTTAACGTCTTTAATATTCGTCTTTGCAGCTTCTGCAGCCGCGGCTGACGCATCTTTTATGGCTTGTTGAGCCGTTTGAAAATTATTCAAAAAGCTCATTATACTGGTAACAAACATATTTAAGAAGACAATGCGATAACAGCCCATAACAACTGTGATAGACATATTATTTTTATCAGTTTCTGATGGTTCGATGTTGTACATTACAGCTTGAATTTGTAAGGATTCAGTGTCTTCTATCACTGACACAATATCTCTATAAGCTGATGCTGCATTAAGATCTTTAATACTGATAGAAGATAAGTTAACATTTGCTTGGGAATAGGAAGCTTTCATTATAAATCCGGCAGTGATACCGGCGATATAAAATGCAGTAATTTCTCTATAATCACTAGTTATCTTCATACAAATTGTTCCAACTTTTGCCTGAACCTTTAAATCTATATGCTCAATCACTGTTCGTTTCCGACGTGACGTTGATCTAAGTTTTTGTTTGTGAATTTGTTCCCTCAAAAACGTCGAGGTTTCTTCTTGAATGGAAGTCAAATGAGTGGGGCGTGGACGCACCTGAGGTTCCTTTTCCAGTTTACTATTCGCTATAGCGTTCATTTGATGCTGCATGTATGATGCAAATTGAAGGAGACTTATAAGAGCTTCTTGGTGCAGTAAAACATCTAACGTTGTAAATTCTAATTTCAACAATTTCAGAACAGACTCGTGTTTTGTTTTAAATTCAGGGGATCGTTTATTCACATTTATATACTGCACTGTTATCAGATACTCGTCTTTACCAGACAACATAGGAGTGTTCACCATAAATATTTCTGTTTGATTATAGTGTTGTTTCATTTGAACACCACCTAATCTTAGTAATATTTCCTGATCATAAGTTCGTTGCAACATTTCTGCTTCTAACTGTACTACTTCGAGTTTCATAAACGGTATTATCGTACTGCCTTTTTGTGAGGAAATTTGTATTGCAAATTCTTTCATTTCAAATTTTATTTCCATATCAGTCGTTTGTTTAATCGAAGTTACACTAGAGTCTTCGTCTTTTTTCTTCTCAGAAATAGTAGTAGTTATGTCCTTCAATAAAGATAATTGTGAAACAGATTTGCTAAGTGATAATTTGCGAAGCTCTGTCGGTTCTTCATCTTTTGGAAGTGGTATGCTCTGAGCAATAGAAAGCGCTTGCAATAAACGAATATCTGTTATATTGACAAAAACTGAGGGTAATTGCCCTAAAAACCTAAACTTTGGAAGTAGAGGATCATCTGTTACTAAACATTTGTGAAATTGGATTTCGAGCGCTGTTGGGTGCAGTAAAGTCATGGAATCATCCACATTGGATAGAGTTGTGCGCCAATCTTCACCTGGCAGTGAAACTAATACTTGAAAATCTACTATCTTTAAAATAAACTTGTCATAACTTCGTTCTCTGAAATGCAGTAACACATCTTCTTCGCTTTTACCGATACTGATCAAATGCTTCACAGTTACGTTAGTTTCAACGTCCTTTGGTTTATCCAGAGAGTGCATTTGCAAGCTACCAAGATTGACTACTAACAATGATTTTGTGCTATTATAAAATCCGTCATGTGGTATGATTAGTTGAGAAGCTTGCATATTAATCTGTTGGATACATGTATATTTTAATCCATGTTAAATTTCGTTTATCTTAATAAACATGCATTGTAAAATGAAGTTTTACCTGTATATCTAATACCGAATGCTTTTGAATAGCATGTTCTAAACCTAGGGCCGACATTTCTTTCAAACCTTCTAGCTGTTCTGCAGCAGCTGCTTGGAGACTACATAAAAAAGTAATCAATTGTTTAAAACAATTATTAAAATATCTACTGAATAAAGAAAAATATAATATTATCCTTACTTATTCAAAGTCGACGAGTTTTGTACTTTAAATAAGTTAACTATTTCTATTACGGTTTGTGCATCATAAATAATATCCACGGACTTCGATCTTGCTATAATACGATCACCGCATGACTTATCCAAAGGATTTTTCTCGTATGATACATACAGTAAAGCAGTATCTGTACTATGCTGATGAGAATTGAACAGTGAAGGAACCTGTTCGCCTTGTTTCGTTCCTAACAGTTTCATTTCATTAATTGACGCGGTAACTCTATAATAAAATAAAGGTTGTGATATATTATAGTACAACTTAAATTTTTGTAAGCAAAATGAAAAGCATACAAAATGGCATTAGCAGCTGGTCTTGACTTGAAGCAAGCTTCAACACCATGAAGCTGAAGATCCAGAACACAAGGATGTTCTTTATCCATGTCTAAAATAATAACTTGAAGTTCGTGTAAAAAGAATCGTGTGTCGGCCACTTCATATGATTCAGGATAATGAGTTGGTGCGGTGTTCTCTTGATAATCTATGGCTTTGTACAACTTTTCTTTTTCTTTTGGTGTCAGCGCTTGTTCGAATTTCCTCACTGAAACGAATATGATTATTTTCTGAATGAAAATCTTGTTCAAAAAATTACAAAGACTTTCAATTAATGTCTAATATTACTTATCGCAGCCGCCGAATTCAATTCTTGCGTTTCCTCTGTCTGTGCATTAGACCACAGAAAACCAAACCAACCACGTTTTGCTCTTAAACTCTTTTCTCTCTCTGCCAATTTTTCTACCTACAAAATCCAAAGTAAAAATCAGCTTATTATCAAACTTTCATATGTGTAAATTTGTTATCATCTAAAGTCTTTCATTAACTAACTTCCATTTCAATTTGCTGCCTAATAATGACTAAATTGAAAATATCCAATTTCATTTCACAATTTGTCAGATGATCTTCTGTTTCTTGCGCGACTTTTTTAGTTGTTAATTTCGTTTGGTATGCTGTAGCATAAGAACGACACATATCCCTATGTTCTTTCATGTGATTCCAGTCCCAATTCCTACGATTTCTGCGTACTGTTTCTTCTAAGACACAAGTATATGCAAAATGCCACCTAAGAGCAATAAGTTAATGAGCAATTTGTTCGCAATTTTCTAATGTTAATGATTTATTACCATTCCTTATAGTGTCCTCTGTATGATGTTAACTTTGGTCTATACTTTCTGTATGGTGCAGCCTTTTGAGCTTGATCTAAACCCTCCCCTAATTGAACTAGGGTGTGATATTGTCTCTTTGCTATTCCTATTCTTAATTTTTGCATTTCTAGATCTAGCCACACCTTAGGAATAGTGTAATTACTTCCATCTGTTTCTGGTTTTGGATTTAACTTTAATTTTGCATTGACATTGATTGGACCCAATACTAAACAAGTTAGAAATAATTATAAGGATGTAATAAATTATAAAATTTCAATCAATAATTTGAAAAAAAGGACGAAAAATTATTAATACTTATTTGTAATATAATAGTTTAAAGTATGTTTGCTTACAATATTGATAACCAGGTGGATTGTAATCTATGGTTGCAATACCACTATAAAATAGATCTGAATAGTTTGATTGTGCATTGTTACTAAACTGTTCTACAGTTGTATTGAGGTACACTGCCAAACCATCTAGTGTGCATAACTGTAAGAAAGGTTTAATTTTTTATTTTAAGTACTCCTGCTAGTTTCTTCACGGAACTTCTACATACCTTGTAAATTTGTGGAATGGCATACATATCTTTTAAGTTACCATTTGCCTCCCAAGAGTCTGTACAACTTTGTAAGATAAATTTGTTGAGTGTAAAACCAACTGAAAATGGATGGTCCTTGAATGAAATGTGATCTTCATATCTCACATGTATTTTTTTTATTTCAACATGAATATTTTTTATCATACGGGCAACAAGTTTTTCAACCATTGAATCATCTAACTTCTCTTGTGCTAGTATAAGGCAAGTAAAACAAGTAAAGTAGCTGTCACATTAAGATATTAAATTTAAAAAATAAAAATCCTAAACTTATTCAATAAGAGATGATTACATTTGATATCTGCCAATTGCTTATTTTTTTCAACCCTTGCTAGTTCTGCACGCTTAGCTTCAAGCTGTATTTTTGCTTCTTTTTCCCCATCATATACAACCTGACTTGAGGGTACTATGAGTACAAATAATTCCTCAACTATAGCATCAATCTGACCATTCCACATATCTTTAAATGGTATTTTTAATATAAGTTTTCCTAGAGGAAAATACAAATAAAAACTATATTAGTTTTGCATTTTATATTTATTAATGAAATATACATACATAAACTACAAACCTAATCTTCCATATTCCAATCTAATGGGTAAGTCCAATGTATCTAATGCAGTTTCTTTTATTAATAAATCTTTTAATACTACATCTCCTAAAAAGAAAAAATATAATAAAGTGTTTTTATTACATTCATATTTACTGCTAAAAAATAATACATACATGTATGTATAATACAATATTGTGATATATAAGAAATTTATATTTAATGTTTTTTTTGTTTAATTTATTACTTAACATCTTATTTAAAATAAGATATTGCAAGTGTTTTCATTTTTCTTTTATGTAAGAATAATGTTTAAATAAAAAATATCTTTTATCATGTTCTTAAACACAATTCAATTATTCTAAAATAAATAAAACTTACGAATTATCTATATTTTCGTGAAAAATAAATAATAAAATTTAAATTATTGCAGGGTTCATTAAAGAAAATATAAAAAACTGTAACTGCAAAGGTCTCTTTTTATTGCACTCATGATGGTCTCTTCAAAGTACAAGGACAAAATTTCATATACATAGCGCTAGGCGAATTAAAATATTTAAAATTCTACCAGGTACTTGATATGCTGATACAATGATAATAAAGCGATTGAGATAAAATATTATTAAAATAGCAATTACGAGAAAACAAATATGTATATATTTCTTTTAAGGCAGCATCAAAGCAATTACAAGTAAAAATAACTGCTTTTTACTTTAGCATTCAGCATATAATATTACAAAAGCACGCTTTTTTTATTATATATATGTATGTGTGTGTTCATAATTTCATTGCATACGTGTGTATCATAAGCGATAAAGGACTAGCCGGAGAGATCATAATATAAATAGAAGCTGATGTCACATTGATGTACTAATAATACATTTATATGTATTTACGAAATATCAGACTGCGTGTTATCAGACACTAGTTATCACGTTCTATTTTTTTAATTTTTCTTTCGTTGTCAGGCTTTCAATTAAACAGAAGTATATACATTTCGACCCGTGACTATCTATATCATACATACATGGAATGTCTCGAAATTTTCAAACAATTCGTATGAATGCTTACCGCTCCATAAACTCAGTTTTAATTGCGAGTAATCCAAATTTTGAATATACTCCCCCAACACTTTGTTCAAGAGTTCAGCAACAATCGATTCGAAGACCATCTTCGATCTTTATTTCAAGAAAGAAAAATTTCTATAAAAAATATGCAAGTTCAACGAGAACAAACAACAACGAGTATTCGACAAATCTTTTCGTTCGTTAGAACTCTCGTTAGAAGATCTCTATGTTAAATAGAGTTGACGCACAAAAGTAAAATCGATCGATAAAAAAGTACCGCATAACCTTTAACGTGTACAGTATATGTCATATAAAACGAATCATGTAACGAATGAATAAAAAATACAATATACAGAATGTAATGTTAATTGTTATTATTTATCGACACGAAACGTCCTTTATTAATCGTCATTATTTAGGCTGCCGGACAATTTGAATTCTCGTTAAAAAAAAATTCACTGTCACGTCACACTGAATCCAATTTTTGTCACATTTAACAAAGGTGTTTCTTTATATCAGATTATCAATTGATTTTAAGTTTCTTGTAATTGAGATAACAACATCGTGAGAAAGTGCGATACTGTCAATACTTCTGACGTACTTGATTTCACCAACTCTATACATTCACATTCTAGTTACTTGCAGTCACTTCGTTAGATTACTACACACACTAAACTTACACACCTTACTTTACCCAATGCGTACAACTACATACACAGATATTATACTAGATAGGTTGATTGATAGAGCATTTTTATATAATATATACGTAATAATATAGAACGTTTTTATTCATTTCCTATACTTTTTACTTTTATATCAATTTATATAATGTACATTTTACAATTTTCATTGATTGAAAAAATTATAAACAACGTACAACAATTCTTCTAATAATATGTAACATTTGGTTTCTTTTTTTATTATTTTTTATTTAGTTTTTTTATTTTACATAGTTTATTAATACATTAATAGTATCCGCCATTTGCAATTATTGCTTCGTTGTCTTACTCTACATGCATACTTAAGCCTGGCAAAATATAACATAATGAATTTTATTTTTTCTTTTAATAATGCAGTATTATTAAATTATTTACTTTAGTCTAAAATTTGTTTAATGCCAAAACCAATCTAAATTTGTGACATTAAAAACCGTTTCATTATATTTTGCGATTAAAAACGGACTCAGTCTTCTGACGTAAACTTTTCTGAGTCCTAAATCTTGTAGTTTTCTGTAATTATCCTCTAATACATCTTCTCCATTGGAAAGTTGTCTAAATTTATTTAGCTGCAAATATGTAATATTTAGAAATCTTTTTGTAACCTTAAAGAAGTATTAATTAATATCAATTATAAAATATTGAAAGGATACTTGAGCAAAAGATACTGGAACCGGTGTCGGGAAGATTATCCATGTTACTACTTCGTTACACGGGGGTGTAGTTAATGAACCTTTATAAGTATAAAATGTATCTGTATTTTTAGGTAATAACGAAGCTAGTGTTATAGGCGTATTTAATTGTATTTCTTTATTTAGCCATTGCACACTTGTTAAATCTTTTACAATAGGGTACAATGATTTGTTATCTTCTTCCTGTAACTAATTGTAAGCTTTAAAAAAATATTCTAAAAAGCATTAGATAAATTTAAATAAATTTTATTTTTATGAACTATATGCATTTCCATAGGATATCTGGCGAATAAAAATGTGAAAATTAAAAAAATAATGAACATATCAATTATTCTTTGAAATTCTTATTTTTTACCTAACACCATTCAAAATATGCTCAGATCCTCTGTTATTTTTTGCACCCCAATGAAAATGTAAATGATCTACTTCGTATTCTTGATTTGTATCAAGTGCAGCACCAAATATGTAAGGTAATCGTTTTTTTAAATGATTATTTATATTTACTGCAACTAAAAGAATAGATAGTTTGTTACTAAATAGTATTCTAACATTGAGTTCAATTATAATACCTGAATGACCATTGTTTTTCAAATGTAATGGTTTTGGAAGAAAATTATGATAGCTGATTATTTCAAGTGCAGGCAAAGGAAGAGTAACTGATTTCAATGATGATATTGATACAGGGGACTGTAATTTTCCACCACATAACTTGAAATTTCGAATCCATGTATGCTGGTCTAAAATGTTGTATCAAATGTTAAATAAAAATTATTGTAAAATATACATTATGAAAATATTACATACCACGTCTACTGTATCCAAAATGTCCAAGAACAAATGATACTAAAAACAAATTTCTTTGAGATAAAAAATAAAAATAATATAAAGTTATATCAAAATAGTTACACTTACTAGTTGCCATCAAACTTATAATTCTTGTAATACTAGTCATTTTAATTTTAATGTACATATTTTTACTATTTAATATTTTAATTATTCTTTTGTGATTTACCCAACATTTAAGCTCTATTGGCAAGAAATTCAACAGAATAATGGCACATACTTGGAATACACACTTCATCTATTGGTCCAAGAAACATACTAAGTTATTTCCAGCATCTTCCAACTGTTTCATTTACATATTACATGCTCTATTATCATCATCAATACAAGATACCTTGAGTACACACGCCGTGTTTTGTCTCGATTAGAACTATAGTGACATGAAATTCACGTATATGTTTTACTACAAAATATTTACTTTTAAGCGTTTTTAGATTAAAATTTATGAGAAATAAAAAAAATTAATAGATATGATAACAATTTATTTACATATGTACAAATAACATGATGCATTGAACTATTTTAATTATTTAGAACTTTGATATTTGGCGAGCATTGATTCATAAAATACATAAATATACAATTAGCTTCGGTATTTAAATTATAGTATCAATAATGTCCACGAAGCTGATATAAAATCGTCTCTTAGATTTCATTCACTTTGTTACAAATGGTAGTAATACACCTGTTTCACAATGTACACATGCACACGAAATGTATAATAAAAATCAAAATATATATATCACAAATTGATATTCAAGTATTGCTTATAATTGTGACATTAATATTTATATTATTTTTATTACAATTCAAAGGAAGCATACAAATTCTGCAGATTTATTAAATTTTTATATTTTCATTCTTTACAAAATATATTTATATGTTAAACTAAACAAATTTTGCATCCTTCGTTTTCTTTGTAATATAATAACTGTATGATTACAAAAATGTTCCTTGCATTAAAGTTACTCTACGTTGAATTTACTGTGCTATTACATAGAAAAATTGTTTTTAGTGTAAGTTGTATCAGCATTGTACTACTTTCAATACTAAAATAACAAATAAACAACATTCATTGTGCCACCAAGCATTTAATATAAAAAGTTCTTTGTAGTGAGAAACATTTCAAGATGTATAATTAACAAGTTATTATAAATATAAATAAGATAGCTAAATCATTTTAATTTTAGAAAAATTGTTAATGGTACTTTAAAATATTCTTCTCACATATACACCATTCTTTTTTTTCAATGGTATATTGTAAAATTTATAAGTACAGAACAATATACACTAAAAAATTGCAAAAACAATCAATCGACGGTTATGATACAATATTTGCTATATTATAATATATGATTGCGTATATTTTCGTTAGTCAAACATTACACTATTTTCTCTTTATTTATTAAATTATAGATTTGATACAAAAGAAAACTATTCATGTTACTAAGCACGTGCAAAATTATGTAAAGTTGCAAACCCATTAAAGTTTGATTTAACGAACTCTATTCGTTTGAAGGTCAACTGACATATTTTATTCGACTAGAATACTCTTTCGTATGTGCCAAACGTTTTTTTACTCGTTTTCGCTCTCTTGCGACTTACAAACTGTAATTTGTAGGGGAATCGAGAACAATTCCTCCCATGGTGATTGTATAGAATGAATGACTGCTTCAGCAGCGCTTACAGAAACAAAATTTAAAATCCACGTTTCCTCTTGGTCCATTACTTCGTCCAAGAATTTTAAAGTCAGTGAGGAACTATAATGTTCCTAAAAGTATAACAAATGGTGAAATTAAACATAAGAAATCGAGATATACTTTTAAATTAATTCTTTTTTATTATTTCAATACTTACAACACCAATCAAATTACTCATAGCTTGTTCCCTTATTACGCATGGGGCATCTTTATTACCCAAAAGCAGCCATTGCATATTGCATATCACCAAGACAGATGCAGTCACTATTAAACTAGATAATTTCAGTTGGTCTTCAAGATTTTGATACTTTAATAGAGCCGAAGAGAATAACGCGAGTAATCTCATAGGGTCTCCATCTTGATGGTTTTTGCAATTTTGTAATATGCTATGCATCAAAGTGGTACAATGTTCTGGTACTGTGAACTCGACTTCGCAATTAGGTGGTAACGATAACTCTGTGAAAAAAAATTAATCTTTCAATGATAAAATTACGACTCGACTTAATATTCAAATATTAAATAAATATTCCTTCTCTTTACCATTAATATAAAATAAGAAGTTAGATGTTCTCTGATAGTCTTGTAGAATACATAAAAATGTAATTGCAGCGTATAGTTCATCGTTCGTTTTGTTAGGTTGTTCCAATTCAATCACAAGACCTTGTTTGAATGGTAATGGAGCGAAACACCTTAATCTATCCACTGTCCAACTAATTTCTTTATGCAACCAACGTTGTGGGTCTTCTCTGTAATAAAAATAGAAGAGTAACTGATTTATAACTGATTTCTTATAAATGAGACTCTGATGAGCAATTTACAATTACCCTTCTAATCCATCGATTTTGAGAACATATACTTTTGATGTAGACAAAACCAAGCAACCCGGAAACGTATCATTCGTATTTTGCATTAGAATTTCTGCCTAAAAGTTAACGAGCAAATTAGTAGTACTTTTTAGAAACATTAATTGGCAAAATAAGTTCAGCTTATAAAGTTTAAAATATTACCCTAAGAAGAAAAACAAGTTCTTCCTTTTCATGTTCGAATATGTTCAAAATGATATGCAACTTTATTCTATGATCTAAACTGCTAAAATCTGTATAAGAATACTGAATATCACTGCACAGGAAATGCGGCGCTTCTTCCGCTTTCAACATTAGCGGTTTATTACTACCAATTTTTATGCTCTGAAGTAATCCTAGAATATTTCACGTTAAATAAAATTAACACATGTAAGATCCTTAACGTCAATAAAGAATGCATAATTTTACTAACCACCTAACATAGACGTTAAGTTTGTTACAGGTGTAAATTTCATCTCTTTATCGTTACTATTAAGGGATTTTTCATCTGCATTAACTTGCTTAATTATCTTATTTTCGTACGCGGTACAAATACTATCCGTTAATGAACCTGTAAACATAATTGTGTCAAACACCGTCGATTTATAAAGACTGTTTAATAAAATAAAACAAAAAAGAAAACAATTTTAGCGAACCTGAAGAGCTACTCTCGGTTAAACCAGTCATAATTGGTGCTGCATCTGGTATGGTTAAAAGGGATGGAGCAACTGCAGTACGTCTTTCCTCCGAAGAACGTTTTCTATGCGGTGTAAGATGAGTTCTACGGTGATTATACATAAATTATGAAGTAAAAAATTTATTGAACAATTAGTACTTAAAAATGTATGTATCTTAGATATAAATAAGCATTTTTTCAAAAATTAGAAAAAGAAAATGGTTTACCTTGATGCATCATCCAAAACCTCAATACTACTTTGACTTGGGTTGCTAAGTACTTCTATGTCACTTTCATATTTCTTGCTTAACGTGTTTGCAGATGGTGTAGATTCCCTTGATTCATCCAAGCTTGTTGCAGAACCTATTGGTAATAAAACAAAATAATTACAGGTGTTTTCAACCTAATATATAATGTAAATGTAACATAACAAATAAAATTGAAAAATTTCAAGAGGTGCTCATACTTTTTTTTTTGTTTCTTATTTGTTGCACATGACCAATAATAAAACAGAGTGTAAAGTGTAATGTACTTGAATAATAAAGAACACGTTTTTCTTTGCAGGTTTCTACATAATTTTTCCTTATAGACAGCTCCTTTCATAGAACTACTATAATTCTTCGAGAATGAATGTATTCTGAATACAAAAATAAAAATATGGCCCTAAACTAATAATATGCATAAGTATGATTGTAAATAGTCAAGCAACTAATATTACAGCTTTATGTCTTTAATCGTAATGAAAGCCTAAGAAAACAGAAAGTGCTGTAATAAAATACTGTGGCTGAAGCTTACAGCAGACTTGAGCTTGGGTGTGAGATTCGGAGTGCACCAGAGAAGTGGTGACGGATATAGCTCCACCCTCCGTTCCACCTGCACCGGGATTAGTATGTTATACTCTCAGTCAATAGTAAAAATGCATGGATATGCAGTCAGCAATTACAATTAGTGCATTCACATTCAATGAATTAATGAATATTACTTCTATTATAAAAACTTAAAGACACTAGTATTACGAAAACTCAAACACATTATGAACAAACGAATGTGTATGGTTAATTTTTTACTGCAGAAACCTCATATAATAAACAACTCGATTACTTTATACTTTAAAATTAATATTTTTGAACACCACATTTGAATTATAAAATTTGGATTACACTGAACGAACTCGAAATATTATATTTAACTATTAATTGTCCGTAACTTTTATGAAACTTATTTCGTTCATTCTTGTATTAATCAAAGTATAAATTACATGCACTGGTCCGAATGAAACTTACCAATACTAGAAAAAGATTCTGAATGTTGAAGATTAGGCTTTACTGTATTTTCCGAATACTGATTTTTCGTCAAGCATTCCAATGAACCTTCAGAAATATCATTTTCTGCATCCAGAGGTGATAGTTCATCTGTTTCTATGACTAAGGTACTTTCACAGGTAGGACATTTCAGCTGCTTTGTACCTAATTGAACACATTCCCTATTATATTGCGCATAATTTATGGAATGTCTACAGGCTGTATTACTGTTATAAACATACCTAATAAAGATAAACTTTTAACAGTAAAGTGTTCAAAGTCTTGAGAGAAATGAGTCGAACATTTCATACATTTAAAAACTTTCAACAATGTCGATCTTATCTTCATCCTCTCGCTAATTACACTTACTATTTCCTACAAAACAATCAGATAATAGATCATTTTATGTATGCAACACTTATCCATATGTTGTATTTCTTTATTTTTTTACCTTTGCAATATATGGTTCTACGAAATATCTTCTATTTTTACCAATTTCTCGGACTGTGTCGAAAATTATATCCACTGAGATTGGTTCACTTCTGTTTAGTACACAAGACAATACGGAACTCGCTGACCAAGAATACTTCAGCTTTCCAGTAATTGCATCCTTTTCTTTAATTTCGCTACAATGATAATATCATGAAATTAACTGCTAAATTTTTTAAGTGATAAAATAAAAACTACTTACTCTGTTGTTATTATTAAGAATAAATTTTCTAGCTCGTTCTCATTTTTCTTTACAACAACTTGATACAAGTTACCAGTTTCTAGATGTTAAAAAAAAGCAATAATTAGAATAAATTTTTTTTTTAACAATATATGCATTTCAGTTTTTGTAATGTACCTTCCTTTGGATTATACAAAGCCTCAAGTCCACTCTCAGGAGCGCTTACTAAATCATCGGTTAATGGAGTTTCAGAAATATTCTCTTCATTTAATACTTTACTTTGGTCTTCTTCCTCATGACTAATTTCGCTATTTTCTTTTGTCAAAGATTTAGAATCTTTGTTCGTTTCGATTTGTGCATTTTCCATTAGAAGAATCGAAGAATCTTGGATATTTAGAACGATATTTGTACCGTCTAAATGTTTCATAGTACATTCTGGCGTTAATACGGTAGATGACAAAGGTAATCCCATAATATTTTGAACAAACGTCCCTGCATAACTACTTAACCATTTATCCTCTCCATATTTTTCTCGCAATTCTAAAATTTGTTCCTTCGTTTCTAAATGGTCTTTTGAAGTTCCTGCATGTTTGAAAAAAATATTAGAAAAAAATAATTACCAAATATTAAAGAAAAAATGTAATTAGAATCAAAATTAATTTATCACCTAAATAAGAACTACAAATACCAGAATCTGCTGTTAATTCATGAGTATCTTGCTCATCATCTATGATGACAGCTTCTTTCATATTCGATTTTTTTATATTTTTAACTGAACTTCTTTCAAAAATGCTTGTCCCATCTGTAGACGTCCCTGCTACAAATTCACTAACGGAAGGCGCATTAGTAGACGCAGATAAGGTTTCAGAATTTAAGGAATTTAACATTGAGAGAGAAAATTTACTCGATGCAGACTGTTCAGATCTGACCGTGAAAAGTCGGTTTTTTGCAATATTTTGTTTCTCCGATTTTGAAAGTGGCACATTATCTAAAACAAACTAAATCGTGAAATTTTATTCATATCTATGTAATATTTAAATGATTGAAATTCATATTTGACACTATAACGTTTGGTTAATTTTAATATATGATCTACCTTGCTATCACATAAACATGTATGTAAATACTTTATACATAACAATCGATGTTTCGGATGATATGATAAAGGATTGCCTTCTACAGAAATCCATAATAAAGCAGACATTTTTTCTAAAGGCCACAATGTACAATGTTGTATTAAACAATTGTATGATAAATCTAATTCTTTTAAACATTTCAAATGTTGCAAACCTGTTTTAACAAAATGAAATAAGTAAATATATTCTTATCTTTATAAATTGCATATATAAAGGAATTAAACAAAGACATATTACCATTTAAATTTTCTATATAATTATTCTTCAGAACTAGTACTAGTAAAGTATATGATGCAGCTTTATTAAAGGTAGGTATTGCTTCAAGTTTATTGTACCCAAGATTCACATATTGTAAGTGAGGTAAACAACTTAATTCATCTGCAGATGTTATCAAGTTATGACTCAAATCTATCATTTGCAGCCAAGGTGCTAATTCCAATGATGTATCCAATTTATCAAGAGCATTATATGACAATGTCAAATATTTCAAACAAGCCCATACAAATCCAATACCAGCATCTCCACCACAATTAACTGTGTACAAATAATATTCATGTTATTAGTATAATGTAAACAGTGAACCATAATTTTTTAATCTAAATATATATTGATTTCATAACTACCTAACAATTGTCCCACAGTACAAACTCCTTTTTGACCAACACAGATAATACTTTCAAGTTGACCTCTGACACTTCTGAGTCCTTTTACAGAACCAATGTTAACTTTCCTTAATTCTAGATACTTCAGATGTCTGAATTTGGTAATATCTACAGGGATGTCGGGATTTTTTGGACAATGTATGACTTTTAATCTAATTGTTTTTTGTACAAAATCATGTAAAAATTTTAGGACATGAAATGTCTCACTTCTTGAGTTATTGCATACTTGAAATGAAACTTCTAAATCTTCAGGACCATTCACAATTAAAGAGAAAGCTTCATTTAAATTATGTAGCAATGTAGTGGACAAAGAAAGTTTGCTCAAAGCATTTAATACTTTATCTCCATTTTGACGCAAAAGTTTTGCTAGTTCCAATATTTCTTGCATATTAACATCATCTTGAATATTACTCATTTTTTATATTTTCAATTTACCAAAAATACAAAAATTTCAATAACAGTTATAATTTATTTGAATGTATCTTCATACCAATCTGAAAGACAATAGAACACAAATATGTTATATTTCTATTATGTAATTTAACAAACAAAAGCATCACCTAATAATTGACAACATTTTATACTACTTAATTTTTCATGTAACAAGTGTTATTTGTAATTTTCTACAATATAAGGCATTCTCATAATACCAAAATACATGTTTAGAAATATCACAATACTCTTTAAATGTTTTTAATAACAAACTGCATATTTCATTAATTTACAAAACATACATGTAAGAATGAAAACGGCAAGGAACAAGCTACAATTATTATTCAATGAAATTTTTAAGAATTATTCTTACAGTTTGTTCGAATGTTACAAAACAAACGCTATGAATAACAATAATTTTGTAAATGTAAAGAAACATCGAAAAACTTACTCGATTATGATACATCACTTAGATCATCCAGTTTGTCAGTGATGAACACATAATTAAGTTACAAATGATGCAGGCAGTACGGTTCCACGCATGTTATCACGACTAAGCAATATAAGAAAATCTATCAGTTACTAGTCAGCTATCAACGTCGCGAAATGTCATCTATCATTTTGCAATTGAGTAACTGTAATTTGCGTTATTTTACATGCACTCTTGCCACACAACAAACTCCTAAACATATACAACGTGTGTGAACAGTTGCTTTTATCTTACTTGGTCATTACAACCAACGTTATAGGATACATATTACTGCGCAACGCAACATTTTAAATACACTTCGAAAACTGCTATAATATAGAGAAAAAAAAACAGGAATATGTTTCTGACCTAGTTTGCTTCAAACAATGCAATTAACTAAAACAATTTGTCCTGGTAACGAAACAACCAAATCGTACCTTATAATACGAGCTTTAATGAATAATAACTTCGAAATTTCTAAAGAGGCTAAACCATGATAAAAATGACATACTGACATCAATTTACATCATCGTACAAAACTGTTGATATTGTTGTCTTTATTGTCCTCTGTCAAATTACGCTAGGTGGCAACACTAATCGCTTTTTCTTCACAAAATTAATAGAACTCTACAACACGTTCATCTTTATTTCGATGGCGTATTATTGAATTAAATTATAAAAAAATTAATTTTGATTAGAACTTTCGGAAAGTAATTTTTACATTAAAAGCAGTTGGGAAACATTTATAATCTGTTAATTTCGTGGTAACCAAAGAACTTTTGGTTTCACATTGAGGATTCGATCTTCACAATTTTCAACATGAGAAAAGAGATTATTGTTTGTATTATATTTTTATTGTTGTACGTGGATGCATCAAACGATGTAAATTCGGGTAAAAAAAAATCATGGCGAGATAAAGATATACGAGACATGACTGATGCGGATTTGGAACACTTGTTAGATCAGTGGGAGGTATGCCACGTTTATCTTTAATTATTTGTTTATAAAATCAAAAAAATATAAGTTTGAAAGCATACATTTAAAAAACACTTTTTTTTAAGGAAAATGATGAACCATTGGAACCAGATGAATTACCAGAACATCTTAGGCCTAGTCCACAAATTGATATGTCAAAGGTAATATAAATTAAAAATATTGTATTAGTTAACTTAATATTATGTTATACAATCGTATTTTTTTCTAGCTTGACATGTCAAATCCTGACAATATACTGAAAATGACAAAGAAAGGCAAAGGTGTAATGATGTTTGTGGATACTAACGAAGATATTTCAGCTAAAGATGCTGAGGTAATAATGCAGATTTGGCAAAGCAGCCTCCAAAATAACCATATTATTGCTGAAAGGTAGTATCCCATTTTTAATCTTGATAACAATGTGTTTAAGTAAAAAAAAAACATTTAATTTAGATTGTTAAGTGTTATATAGGTATCCAATTGATGAAAAAAGGTCTGTGTTCCTTTTTCGTGAAGGCTCACAGGCTGTAGATGCAAAAAATTATTTACTACAACAGCCAGAATTGTCTCATGTTACTCTTGAAGGACAAACCTACTTTAGGGATCCAAAGAAGCAGGTATAAAAGGAATATGATACATTAGCAAATAAAACTATAGCAGTTAATGTTTTTGTTAATCTCTACAAAATTTAATGCTTTTATGGTTTTCTTCAGAATATAAACATGGCAAAAATGAAACAGATGGTAAATCAGAATACTGTGCATGAGAAGAAAGAAGGGAAAGTGGAATTGTGATTATTTATAATACAAATTTTTTAAAGATATTTGACATTTTCAGTTTGTATATTTTTATACATACACACACACACACACATATATATACACAGGGTGTCCAGTTATTCACTGGTCTCCTTAAAGAAGGTGATTAAGGAGGTAATATGAAGAAAAAAATGTTCTATAAACATGGCATCAAAAATGAGTATTTAATGAGATAGATGTTTTCATTGAGGATTTAAATCTCATCAAGTATTGGTTTTTAACACATATATACATAGAACAGTTTTTTTCATTATACATATACATATATTTCATTATATATGTCATAAATAATGAAGTACGGAGCAATGTTTTATGTTTCTTCATTTATGAAAATAGATATGCAATTTAAATTATTTTTGTTCATATTTTCTGTAATTTAACATCTTGGAAAAATAAAAATACCAAGTAAAATCATGTACATTATCATATTTTTATTAATTTTATAATAAAGTTAACTTATCATCAGTTTATTAATAACATCACTAAAGATGTAACAAAGAGAGCAACACTTAATAATCTCATAGGCAATAAGGATAATTTTATATTTCATTATTAAGAAATATAAATATGCATAAAAAATTATACATTAACAGAAGTTCGGATCATTTGTTAAACTATGTAATTAAATACAACTTCATAGTTAATTATTTATTTAAACTACACTTGCTAATTGGAGAATCTAACTGGTTGGAGCTATCCATAGCTCTTACTTCTCTCTGTAACTCTTTCACTACGGTTGCAAGCGCATATGGGTTTACACCATTTTCGCATAATCTGATGCATATACTTAACGTTGTTGGATCCAGATTTGTATTTAATAATTTTGAAATTTGATAAAGAGTTTGGAACGTTTTACGGGCAGCATTTATCTGGTGATGCACAGCTTCTGGCATGCTGCCCCGGTTCCTTTCCTTTCTATGAAATAAAGAGGTGTTAGAAACATCTCAACATTATTGAAAGAGGTTATGTATTTAATAAAGAGACTTTTTTTTAAGTATACGTACTCCCCGGTGTGAGACAGTTTGATGCCGGTATGGAACTACAATTTAATAGTAAAGAATAAGCATAGATTACAAACACAATGTTATTTAATCTATACTTTTTAATAAAACTCTCATTTGTATAAATACGATACTGTACTATTTCAAAGAGGCTGTAGTTTCCATAACTACCACCAGAAGGTGAAAGCTGTTCTGTTGAAGAATTTTTAGTCTAACAACTTATACAAATAAAAATAAATCGAGAAGCCGTGAAATCATAAATTGCGTTTTAAAAAAAGTAGTATGCATCGATATAATTTTTAAATTTCACAAATCAAAGTTCAAATTTCCGATTTAATTAATATTTTAAGCATTAGTTTTTATTTTAAAATAATTTGTTTAAGTTTACAAATATTTGCAAAATATTGAATTTCTGTTGCAATAATCTGTAACAGAATAAATTTTCAATCCGTTTGGGTAAAGAAATTACAATGATGGTTAATAATAATGACCATCTCCCTTTATTCCTCCTGAATTCATTGTTCACTTGCCGCAAGATACAAGTTGTCCGCACGTAGTTAGAATACAATTTTTCAAAATCGATCGTCGAAACTCGTCTATACTTATTCCTCGATCTAGCAAATGAAGGATCGGGAGAATGGACGCTAAAAATATCAGAGAAAGGCCTGGGCAAAGGACAACACGGTGATCATGAGCTATCGCATGCAAAAATGTTCCTTTGTTTTTTTTAATCAATAACGTACGCGATGTTCGATTTCTACAGAAAAATTGGCAGTACGAGAATTAACGAATGTACTCTGCAGAGCATCTAAATGTAACGAGATCGCCAAAGTACTCAAACGATCACAGTGAAACGTTCCTTGGAACAAAATGTACAGGCTATTTCATAAGATACATTCATACAACCTTTAGAGTAAGAAAACAAAATTTGACTAACCATCTATAATGCATTTTTTTTATCAGTTATATCCATTCAATGATTCATTGAATTAACGTAAATAAAAGTAAAACAAGATAGTTCGCTATTTTATTAAGTTTATACTGCAGACGTTTCGAATTCTTTGGTAACACCGGATCGATTGCTAATCGATTTGTTATAACCTCTAATCATAAGGTCTCGTCTTAAAAAAACTGCTTTTAAGCTTAACTATCAAATCGTATACGCTATAAACTATAACCGAATACTCCATACACGCTAGATGTCGCTATGGTAACAAATTTTGATTCGTTATTCGTGCTTTTATACCGCTATAGCTAAGTTTACATCTTAACTGCCTAGAAATTTTCTTAAAACGTAAAAATAGATATTACGCTCGTCGGCGAGATTTTCTTTCGTTACGATTAAACAAATTAGTCAATTCTAACGATGAAAAGAAATACACCATTTTTTATGGAATACACTGAACAGAATTAGAAATCGAATTAGTCATCGATTGATCGATAATCGACGATGCATTACACTGTTTTTGATTAACTTACATCTAAATAGAGTTTACAGTCAATCAAGAAATAAAATCAATGTCTTTTACACGAAGAAGGAAACAAACATCATACAAGTTAAAAGCTGGTATCTAAAAATTCTGACACAGTTGTGAAACTTTCGTTTACAATTCAATGAGATAAATCCTAAAGACCAATAAGGTTAATTACGAACTATGTTACCTCTAATGTTCGTGAATTGACTATGACTACTTCGATCTATATAAGGTGTCTTGAAATACGTAATACAACGTAATAAATCTTGATTTTCGTTAAAAATTAAGATCAATCTGACAAGTGGGATCTCTATATTTTATAATTTTTAGTGTTTTTTTCGTGGAAACCCGCATTGGGAATTGATTGTATTTTGAGACACCCTGTATAGCCACGATTTGTCTCGTTTGCTAGATTTACCATCTAATAAGTTTCTCAAAAGTTGATCCTTAAACACGGGAACATCGATCTTACGTCTCTATGATTTGAATTTAACGGTTACCCCGATTTTGAAACGACCAATAGAAGCACGCACGATATGTAACGATCTAAATTACAAATTTTCGAAAGGAACAAGTTGTTATCGAATCATTAGCCGAAGAAAATATAATATTTTCACTCTACTAAAACATGTTGACGATGTTTTATTTGAATCTTTAACGAGCAACTAGAATTTTTTCTAATCCAGGAGATTTGAATTTTCGCTTCCATTTTTAACAGAAATAATCATCGAATATTCGTGTACAAATCTCTTCCACCGCGAAATGTTGCACAATATTTTGAAAACGTTGATTCGAAGAAGTATCTTCGATACTTCGTAGTACAAAGCATTTCCGGTTTCATTTAACCGCATTAAGAAAATCGAAAGTAATGAAACACCATTGAAAATGAGAAAAAAATCTGGTACAGTTGTAAATTCACAATTCTTTAATTATGCAAATTTCAAATAATAATACGAAATTGTTTCTTGCTTTATCTTATATTTTATAACCTAAAATTTTGTTCTTTGTCGAAACCGGAAGTACTTCATATTTTTTCATTTGTCGTCGTCGCTTGGGAGACTTTATTCTTAAGAACATTTCCGATTGTTCCACACGTAGAAAAATTTTTTTTGGTTAATTATAACGTTCGTTGTTTCTTCCTCCTAAAGTCCCTCTGTTGTTTTTATTAGAAAAGATGTAAAAATCGTTTAACATTAGATCGAATGCGATATACACGCACATTGTCATCAGAAACATGGATAGACTTTTTTTTTAAATTGATCTTATCATTTTCTTTTTTTATCGAAAGGAGCTCCCATTCGAGACATTCGAGAAAGCTCTGGAGCAATCAGAAAATTTTTTATCGATAATTTTCGATCATCCTTGCCTGGCCATTAGTGTTATAAATTTTTCTCCGTTTCGAACATACAATTGACTCGATCAATTAGAAAAACGCAACGAGCTGCTTTTAATTAATGCTCACGACGAGACTCGTTAATTCATCGTGAACACTTAGGTTTACGCTTTCATTCTTCTTTAGGAACAATGGACAACGGATTGTAGCATACTTTCAACCTTTTTGTTGGCAATAAAACCGTGAACAGCAATGGGACGCATGCGTGCGAGCTCTGGGTGCAACCCGCGGGCGCCTGCGCAGGTGAACAAGAGCACGCGGGCGCACGTGTCACGCTGAAAGCAGTCTAACCGTGTACTCAATGCAATATTATTTGTAATAAAAAAAAGAGAAGAATTATTCACGACAAAATAAAATAATTGAACTTTTACATTTTTTTTATGTTTAACGTTACTATTGCAAAATAGATACTAAACAACAATCCCATCGCTGTTTATAATACTGAGTTAATAACATGAGACCGAAAAAGAAACACGGGGATTATATAAGTGCAAGAACAATTAAAAGTGCTACGGTAATTTCTTTTAATCTAATTCGAAAAGTTTAAATTTCAAATGAAATAAAAAATATCTTCAATATGAATTAATATAATACTTCCTCGTTTTAAAAAATTACAAGATTGTACAATTCATACGTGTTCGTATCCAGATGGTAATTTATAGGTAACAGGATAAAAAGATCTGAGCAGTTTGCAGGTTCCATCTGAGCGCGAATACACACCATCGTTATTTATCTATACGATTGTTATAGGAACGCGCCTAGCAACCTACGCGTCTTTCTCTTCTAATAAAATACTTGGTAGTGAAGGAGTTGATCGATTAACAAGTAATAGTGCGAGAGTGCTACAAAGAGACAACAACGGTCAACAAACGGTTCTTATTCTAAATTTCTTCTAAACTTGAGCCCCTATATCGAAAGATTTATTTAGATCTAAAATGAAAGTGTGTGTTGTTTAAAAACTTCACGTGAGGTAACTATCGTTTTCAAACCGTTCTAATTAATTTTAGACAACTTGATAAAATTTTTTAATTAACATCTACTTGTTAATGAATAATAATCAACCTTAGTGATTCTATAAACTGAAAAACGTGCATCAAAAATTCTGATCTCTTTATAAAATATTTATTTCGTTTGTTACTATTGAAATTGATCTATCTGTAATAAAAAGAAAAAAGGTTTTTTTTTGTATTAAACGTTACTATGTAAAGGGAAATTTTCAAATGAGTCCAGTAAAAATGTAATCGAAGGTGCACGTTCAAAGATCGAAGGAGTTATTTGGGTTGAAAAGACACACCTGGTATTGTGTATATCAATAAAACGTGGCTGTGTGTTCCTAAAAAACTGGAACTACTAAGATCGACGCAAGCTGCCTACGCCTATGTCGACTAGCTGGTCGTGCAAACGTTCAATCGACGATAAATCGTACGATCTCTCGAAAACGAAAATCGTTTCTCGTTCTTGTACTCGATTATTTCTTCTTTTCTCCTGTTTTTCATTCTCCTCTTTAAATCACTAGATAATTATTGCAATTTGGTATTTCGTTTTGCTGAAAGACCACGAAAACCTCTCTATTTCTTTGTTTAACGAGTTTTAACGAGACTACATAACCTTAACGACTATTTAGTGTTCGCTTAAAGAACTACGAAATGCTTTTCTTGATAATCGACATTAGAAAATTGATTTTCAGTTACCGCTTACAACTACGATATAATTCTACAAACGACTTCGAAAAAACAGTTGGAACCCTATAGGAATACATATAGGACATATATAGGATATATGTATATAATATACTATGCAGAGATAACAGAATATCGTCTGAATGTTTCGTTTCGGGAGAACCACATTGTTTTCGTATACCTTTTGCTTTCAATTTCTCAAGATTGTCACGAAAAAAGTACCAAATCTTCACCTTATTTGGAGGCTTTATCGCCGAATGCTCGTTGCACGCTGAAGTACATTTGACATATGATCTGCTTGAATACGTACGAAACCAATGTTTTCTCGGATGGATAGTCACGCATTTCTCATCAAATACAGCGTATGATTAAATTTATAATATGAATTCTTCATGGAAAATACTTCGTTTTCGAGGGATATGATTATAAGATTATGTCAAATTCATGTGCATTTTCGTCTTGTTTACTTTCGAATTAGGTTTTGAGGTTATCGCGGAAGACGATTTTTAGGTTGGCTTCCGATTGTAAAGAATCGAATTGAAAAGTTACTTTGTAGTATTTGATTTAGTAATTTTTATTTAATAGAATTCTCATTAAATATAATAAATCGTGTGCGCGGTATACGTGAAAGTTTTAATATTACTTTCGTTGAAAACGAACGAAAATTTACTTGACTCACATCTCCACGAAGAATTATTCTCGATCGAGTTACGAGTTTAGAAATATCCTGTGCACAATCTCCATTATTCTCCTCACTAATCCCATGGATAAAATTGTACCTTTCTCGATCGTATACACAGGCATTTCATCGCTTACCACAGAAATATAACAATTTTTACTCGGAGTTTGGCACGGAAGTGAAACAAGACGAATTCGTATCGAATTCTTTTTATCCTTGATGTTTTCTCTTCAACGATGACGTGAACACGGTAGAATGTTAAACATTCTCTTCGATATTCGATATATTTTTACTCGAAATAAACTTGAAGATCTCGACGCATCGATAGATGCTTACTGTATATTCTTGTTTCGTGATATACTTTCCGAGTTGATTTTATTACTTTCTTCCTAATTTATTGATACCATCGTGTCTTTTAGTCGTTCCTGATGCGATTAGTTTCGATTCGATTCTTAGCGTCGATTCCACAATTGACAGGTCGTTTATCCCTCCCCTAAGGGAGTACCTTACTCCCATTATAGTCTGGACGTTTGGAGAGATTCACTTACGTGACGTAAACTATAGTTCTTCCGCAAGAAGAAATATCTGCAGCTCGTCCGTCCATTAACCACGAGCGTGATTGAACTCTGTAACTACCAAGACTCTTGAGAACTTGATTATTTTCCTTTTTTTTTTTCATTTTTTTTTTAGCATTCTTCCTTTTTTCTTTTTAGAAGGTACGATTCCTTGCTCGTCGTCGGAATCACGTATCACCTTGTCCTAAAAAAGAAGAAATTTACAATCTTCAGGCCATGTGCCTGATTATATTGAGGAAAGCATTATACAGGGTGTCCGTAACTGATAGAACAGCCGGGAAGGTGATTCTACGTAAAAAAAATAAGCTGAAAATATAGAATAAAATTTTTTCATATGTGGCTCTTTTTTCGAGAAAATCGACTTTAAATATTTATCTAATACATATATGTCCAAGTACACTTAATTACGTTTCGACCTATATTTGTACCATTAAGCGATGCCAATGTCATGATCAGTATTGATAATACATTTATTAACGATTTCCTTAATTGAAATTTACATTACTGAACGAATCATTGAAAGAGACAGTCTTGTTAACGCATACAAATCTTTGCTCTTTGAATCAGGGAATCGTGAACTGACGGTACGGTATTTTCACGCTTTATTCGTTTGAAAGCTTGTACGATTCTATCGTTTAGCTGCAGGAGATTGACGCCATTTTCTGCATAGACCATTTCTTTACGACATATTACATTACCTCTGTTTATCGACGTAAAAGTATGAGCGAAAGCATTAGTTTATTAACAATATTTAAATTGAATTTTCTCGAAAACTAAGAATTTTATGCAAAAATTTTACTTTATATTTTCAGTTTATTTTTTTATGCAGAATCGCTCCCTTCCCAATTGTACCACCAGTTACGGGACACCCTGCATATTCCTAACTAACTTATTTCTCAATAATAACAGTGTTCCAAGGATATGGAATTGTTAGGTTAGGTTAGGTTCAATGAGATTTTTATCAACTCAGATCTCCTACATTGATTTTCCTGGTTCACAATAGAGACTGTTCTTCAATAATAATACTGTTCCACGGGTAAAGAGTCGTAAAGTAACGTTAAGTTACGTTCACCAGGAAGTTTACCCTTAGCAAAAAAGCGGAGCTTCCGGTTGGTTCCACCAGTGCGCCGCTAAGAGCATGTAGAGCTCCTGGTCCTGTACGGTGTAACCTGGAGGTGGCTGAGAAGGCAAAGGCGGTGGAATAGGTGGCAGCAGAGAGTAGGACGGTGGCGGTGGCGAAGGCGACTGGGACTGCGAGAAGGTGGTCGTGGTGGAGAGCGGTGTTGGCGGCGTCGTGGTCATTGCCGGAGGCTCTTCCTTCTCCGGAGATCAAAACGCGTAATCGAACTTTGCCAGCGACCGTGTGGTCACGTCATCCTGAACAAATTATATTCTCTTTTACGTGTTACTATTACGTAATTAACACATTGATATAATTGATATAACGAGGTCGTAAAATTAGTCAGGTGTCAAAGTACAGCAAAAATATAGTGAGGATGTAAATTAGAAAAAAAATTTTTACAATATGAACTGTTAGTGATTTTTTTCTTACTTTCAATAGCAACAGAAATAATTTTGGTGATCATTATAGATGAAACACTTCGTACATTAGACAAACATCGTCAGAGTATAAAAAAAGAAACCCCTTCCTTAAAATACTTTAATTCTTAAGATAATACCTTTGCAAACAGTTCAGAATATTCCAAGCAAACCCTTTTCTAGAACATCAAACATTGCACGGGTTCACGTCGATGAACGATTCATGAACAGGCAAGCAATGTTTAAACAAGCAGAAAATACAAGCGTGTAGGTACCCTCAGACAGCTCTCCATAAATTCCTCGATCGTTATTATGCCATCCTGGTTTAGGTCGAACTTCTTGAACACCCTATCCAACTGTTCCCTCGCTTTCCTCTCTTCCTCAGCGTGATGTCGTCGACCCATAAGCTCATGCACTGCTATCACCACCTCCCATAGTTCGCCCCTGGTGATGCATCCATCGCCGTTTATGTCGTACAGCTTGAAGATCCATCGTAGTTTCTCGTAAATGCTACCGCGCAGCAGTGTCGATAGAATGACCAAGAGATCCTGCGAAAATCGCGTCTTATGCGATGCGAATTTCATCCGGGTTTATTTAGAATTCGAATATTCCGATAGAGAACAGTAATAGGAAAATTAGAAAATTAGAATGATGGGGGAACTGGAAATTTAAAAACTTGAAAGTTTGGAATACGAGAATTGAGAAATTAGAATTTTAGGAAATCTGTAAATTTAGAAATTTGGAAGTCTGGAATGGGAAAATTGGGAAATTTGAGAATTTGAATGTTGGGAAATCTGGAATCTTGGGAATAGGACAATTAAGAACTTAGGTAGTTAGGAAATCTGGAAACTTGAAAGATTGGGAACAGGAAAATTGAAAATTTAGAATTTTGAGAAATCTGGAAATTTAGAAATTTGGAACTCTGGAAATCTGAGAATTTGAGAATTCTGTATTCTGTTCATCTAAAAAATTGATCAATTTTGAATACCGGAAATTTCAAAAGAATTCTGTTAGAGGAGAATGAAAATTACCCTAAAGTTCATGGCGCCGTTGCAGTTAACATCGAAGGCCTTGAACACGTAATGGGCGTAGAGGCTGGAGTCTGCGTTTGTTCAAGCAATATTAAAACATCCGAATCACACTTACAATTCGCGAGAGATCTTCTATTTATACAGGGTGTCTGTTTTATCTCAATACACCTAAGTATTTTTTAAGAAAGTGATGTTAGGAAACAAATGTTTTAACGAAAGTTGTTTGAAACAGGGGGGAAAATTATGTGGTATAAATATTTTTTTTTGTACCAGGTATGGTGGGGGAGATTTCAAAATTAGTTTAATTTTTTTAAATGGAATGCTATATTTTTTTATACATAATATGATAGTGTATGTTAAGACGAGTGCAACGAGGTAGGAATAGAGTCATTTCCTTTCATGGAAGGTCGTAAAATTGCAAAAACCGGGAGCCGAACTACATCACGTTCCTCACTGTCGCGTGTGTCTATTTTCGCACCTCGTTGGACTCGTCTTAACATACACTATCATATTATGTATAAAAAAATACAGCATTCCATTTAAAAAAATTAAACTAATTTTGAAATCTCCCCCACCATACCTGGTACAAAAAAAATATTTATACCACATAATTTCCCCCCCTGTTTCAAACAACTTTTGTTAAAACATTATTTTTCTAACATCACTTCCTTAAAAAATATTTAGATGTATTGAGATAAAACAGACACCCTGTATATGTAATTGAAACTCACTGCCATGGGGGAAGAATTTCGCGTAGATGTCCTTGAACAGATCTTCGTGAACTACACCCTCAGGGCACTCCTGAAAAGTAATCGACAAGATAAACGTTATGATTACCATAAAAAAGAAAGTCATTTAGTTAAGAACGAGTAGAATAGATAGTGTACATATGTTAATACAGTGAAGATAGTAGCTTTCAGTGTCAATTATGCATTTCGCCTGAAGCAGATCGTAAAATGGTGGAAACAGGGCGGAAATGAGTCGAAGAGGATGATTGTGTTTGCATATTTATGAGTGTAATGCATAAAAAAAGTAGCAAAAATGAAGATTCCGTATACTATACCAAGGAACACGTTCGAAGCATACAGGTAATAGTTTTATTAAAACATTTTATTTTTTTATCCACTTATTTCTTTTGCTGTAATATTTCCTTAATACTGCAATAATAGTTATTAAAGAATTAATTAAATATTGTAATATTAATTACTATAATACCCAATATTACAATAGCAATAATTATAGCATTAATCTGTTATTATAATACTGATTAATCTAATCTGAATTTAATATTTCTTCTGTATTTAAAATTCTCAAAATGTTCCAACTGTATTATTATCAATTTTTAGCTAGAATATTGCATGAAAATATTTAATAAATTATTTTTCGGAAGATGTTCGTACGATACGACGCGGTTAACGTGCGAGGTCGAACGAACAATTCGACCGGAAGATGTTTCCTGGGACGAGTGGAAAGTGCCAAGCTTAAAGACCCTCGCCCTTCGTGTGATAGCCTCAGCCTGGAAGCAAAACCCGATACTGGAGGAATTACCAACCTGTGAGGATAGAAATATGCTGATAGAAATTCTATCTACCGATCTACCATTTGAACTGACCATAAAGAAGATTGAGGATGACTACTATTGGGAACGTTGCTCGAAAGCCAGGTGAAAAGTGTTATTAAAATCCTTTAGAGCATTTTCTCCTGTTTTTCAAAAATTCTGATGGAATTGGAGCGGAAAATGGTAGTCCTGAATTGTAGGATAGGAAGAATAGTAGATAAGGGAAATGAAAAGAATTGGAAAATAGGAGAAAAGTAAGATAGAGGAAGCTGAAGATTACAATGTAAGAAAATAGAAAAGGTAGGAATTGCAATACAGAGAAATATAGGAATGGTAGTATAAAAAAAGAATCAGGAAAACAGGAATAATTATTTCCATAAAAGATAGAAAGATTTTCAGAAAATAGGAAAACTAGAAAAAGTGACCTTTCCCATAAAAGAATTTTCTACTGAATTTAATATAGTCAAAAACTTTGCAATCGCCATAAAATCATAAAATCCAGAAGCGATATCGTTTAATAGACTATTCACCTAGACATACTTCATTCAGTAGCAGTTCTATTAATTTTTCTTGGCTGCCTTTCAAGAAACATTCTCTTGAAATATTGCCCGATTCGCTACGTATAAATTCAAAAATTGTGTCATCGAATTTACATAAAGCGACTCGTTTTTGGTTTGCTAAAGAGGTTGGCCCGAAATTCGTTGAGAATACACGAGGGAATTGGGATTATTTCAGATGGGAGCACAACGCTCCCGCCGAACACGGCAATTCTTGGCGGCGACGCTACTGTGAGGGCGTATTGCGTGAATATTTGGAGAATCTCGAGCCAACTTTCTTCGAATCGCAGAGGGAAGCATGTGAAAAAATGGTAGAACTCGTATTGGACCATGTGCACACTATAGAACTGCGTTACCTACTACCTACAAAGTAAGTTTTCCAGCAGAAGCAGAATATACAGGGTGTTCCTGTAGAATTCAATGGATGAGAAGAAAAAAGCAGATTCCACTGGAACTTACTTTTGAGAAATTGAAAAAACTGATTTGTAGCTAAACTAATGATTAAAATGAAAAACTTTCCATCGTAGTAACAATTCTCGACAATTTTGAAATAATTTTAGCGAATAAGCAGCTACACTCCCTTCTGCTCACCCATTCAATTGTGGCACAATTTAGCATTCTAGTTTAGTAACGAAATTTTTCCATTCGCATTATGCTTATCGCGCAAGTTTTAATGTAATGCAATCGGTATATTTGCTGGAAACGTTGCAGGAAGCAGAGGATATCCTTGGACGAGGAGGATCCGTGTCTAATGGCGGAGGAAGACGTCCATCACATCCCCTTGGAGCTTATTCTGCCTCGGTTTCCTAATCTCACTGAGATTTGCATTAATTTCGGGCTGATTTACATGAACGACGGCTTCGAGTGGCGAGACTTCGAGTGAGTCGCTTGCTACGGACCAAGGTTTACTTTTAAAGCGCCCAATAGTTCTCGAGGATTGATCTATACGTATGAAAAAAAAAAAAAAAAAAAATGAAGGATTTCCATTGAAGATTGCGCTGGTCTTGGACGAGGGATTAAGGCTTGCCCGAAATTGAAGAAGTTAACTTTGACTAGGAGCAATCTGGACCAACCGCGTGCCGCGGCTCTTCTTCAGGGAGTTGTTGAGAACGATAATGTTAGTGAGAATATAGTAATAAATCTTTTACCATCATTAATTTCTAAAAAAAAATTACTCTTGAACAATATAATAATCGAAAGTATATTTAAAATTTTGAAACACCCTGTATATTGAAATATTTAGACCAGTAAAAATGGAATACCCATATTTGAATAAACAAGTAGAAATTCATTAATCCTGAACACCTATTATATGAACTTGCTTCAGGAGACAAGAGAGTTATCTTACGCTAGAAACTTTTCAAAAAGAAAAGTCTCATTGAAAATTCTTGTTCTAATTGATCATCCAATTACTATTAATTAATGCATTAATAATTCATAATTCAATTTTCTCTTTCTAATCAGTTAGAGGAGATAGATTTTTCACACTGCAAACTACAGGACAAAGGAGCCCACGCAATCGGTGAATTTCTATCGTTACATAAAAACTTGAAAACCTTGCACGTGGCGAATAACGACATAGGACCAGAAGGAGTGTGCGGCATAACCTACGGACTACTGAAGAAGGAGGACTCGATATTGAAACATCTTAATCTAAGGCTGAACTCTTTGTTGGATGCTGGCGCGTTTCACGTATGCGCCTGTAAGTGTACAAAGTATTGGGTTGCTAACTTTATCCTCCATGAGTCAATATTTACACTGTCTATCGTATCGAAGCAGCGTGGCTGGCGATTGTATCTCCGCCAAAGAACAAACACGTTGCTCGACTTCCGTGCCGTTAATCTCCGACGTGTTTCTGCCGGAACTCTCCCCGGGCTACTGTTTGACTTTTGCATCTGGTCGAATGGTCACCGTGCTCTATAATCTACAGGGCAAACTGTGTAACTACCCTTATTTCCTAAAAGTTGACCAATTCGCGATTTGTATGGTTTATTTTCATGGAAATTATTCAATACGTTTCTTTTTCTAATACAGTGGAACATCGATAACTCGAACCTCAAGGGAAGGGGAAAAATCTTTGAGTTATAGAGGTTTCGATTTATCGAGTTTTCGAGTAAAGGAGATCATTAGCAATATCCTTTTTCTTTCTTGATCCAGTTTTTACTGTTTCAATTATGTTTATTTTATCAACCAATATTACTATTTTCTGCTTGCGTTTAGAATTCATTTTGTTACATATAATCCGGAGAAAAGAATGAGAAACTGTGCTTTAACTTATTCCTTCAATTTTTCACAGCAAACTGCTTTTGTGATCAAAACACATGCACTGTTTATCTCTATAAAGAAATAAACAATTGACGATCGTTGAACCGTTGATCCTATTGGATCGATTGACTGATATGTAAAAATTAACTTCGGCTTGTAAAGGTCGGAGTTCTTCTGAATTCCAGTTGTAGAGGTAAAATACATATTAAACTTACGACAAATAATTCGAGTTAACGGAAGTTTTATTTCGAGTTGTAGAGGCTTTTACAACGGAGCCGAAGGGAATGAAGAAAATTTTCGTCTTATAGAGAATTTCGAGCTATCGAGTTTCCACTGTATATGTATTTTGATAGGAAAATATTGCAATGGACTTGATGTTTTAATACTACAACTGAATTCGAAGATTTCACTTCTCGCTGTTTGGAAGGGAAACAACTTTCTCAAAACAGAGAGATCAGATCCTAGGGAAACACGCCGAAATTACATTAGAAGAGTTCATTGTCTGCGTCTGTTTTAGATCTGCTAAGAAGCGAAAGTTTAGAAGTTCTTGACGTGAGTGCTTGCGGAATAGAAGCTGCAGGAGGCTCTGCAATAGCCGAGGTGCTTGGTTCTGGTAGCATGAAAACTGAAAGCTTGGACTTGGATGTGTCGAGCAACAATTTTGGCGAAAATGGTGAGATCTTCCTCCTCGAAGAGACTCAACAAAATATTATAAGCTAAAAAATAAAATTAAATATTTTTTGCATTGATTTTTCTTTAAATGTAAATCTATATAATGACAACAGAGAGTCTAATATGGTGTATAATTTCAGTTGGAGAGTCATTCGATACGGCAATGAAGAACGCGCCGTTCGTAGTCGGTTTTTACGCTCGAATGTGCAATTTCTCTTTACAAGCGGAATATTCTATCCATGAGAGCGTGGTCAGGTAAAGAAAAACGTTGTGTCTAACACGGAACGATATTTTAGCGTCTCACATTACTTTCAGGAATAAACAACAGAGAAAAAAGGATAAAGTGAAACAGATGCTCGAATAAACATGGATATTTACCGTCGACGTGTTTCCTCCAAAATAAACAGTTCTGGTCGAATATTCTTTACATAAATAATGTGAAAGTCAAAATACAATAAATAAATAGAATTTCAGATTGCATAGCTGATATAGAAAAAGAGAAAGACACACAAAAGTTTAAATAAAAATTATAGAACCAAAGAAAAATATGTAAATTTGCATGAATAATATTTAACTAAAGAAATAATTAAAGAATATAAATAATGTAAAATAATCGTAGAAGTAATGTAAAACTGAAAATAGAGAATAAAACAAGCTTATTTAATGCTTTGTAGAAATATTTAAAATCTGGCAGATTAATTAGTAGATTGCAACTGGAGGAAGTATAGAAATCGCCAATATTAATAAAGTAATTAACACTTCTGCATAATATCCGTTTCCTTCCTGTTCGGATTTTCGGCCGGAGCCGAAGCAAGCACACAGCGAATGACCGTCGTAATAGAGAAGGACTAATGAAAGAGTTGGCAACAAAAGAGCAGCGGAACTAGGGTGCCGCTTCTTCGAGGAAGTTATGCGAAAACCGCGAACACAGTAAATTGCCGCAGAAGTAGGTCAGAGCTAAGACTTTTTGCATTATTAAGCCGAACGGACGTGAGAAAAAAAAATATACATATAAAGGAAGAGGGTCCGATTTCGCGCAATCTCAGTAATAATCTTCCGTGTCGTTTCCTTCGCGTTGAAAACAGATTTAATCTCATCCACTATCGTCCTTCTGCATGGTTGAATATCGAGAAATAACCACAGGATTGAATTATATGACTATTAAGTTTAATGTGCAATAATTTTAGTACCTATAAAGTATATTCTCCACAAGTGTCAGACCGCCAGGAAGCTAAACCTGACACTCATAGAGTCAGGGACTACGTTTTCAAGCCTCGTGCCCGCCTTTGTAGTTGGCCGAACAGCGAATAAAAGGACAACAAGGACAGCGAATAAAAGATAAGCATGAAACGTCAGTCCAGGCAACCAAGCGATTTAAATACCAACTTTTTTAATTTTACGTTTTTCTATCCCGAAACTTTTCTTAACATATTGATGAGATTTTTCTGATGAAAATGACATCAAACACGACATAATTTGAACAACATTTACTTATTAACACGTTCACTGTCACGCCAGATTTACAGGTTGCTGTCAGGCGGCCAAAATGCTCGTATATGTATATTCCGAAAACCGATTTTTAATTGCGAAACACTACTGAGACGGTTTAATTTGGGACAATATTTGGTTTACTTATTAACACGTTCACTGTCACGCCAGATTTACAGGTTGCTGTCAGGCGGCCAAAATGCACGTATATGTATATTCCGAAAACCGATTTTTAATTGCGAAACACTACTGAGACGGTTTAATTTGGGGCAATATTTGGGCTCATATTTGAGCTGGTAATACACAACACAACTAACTACTAAACCAAATCACCAGAAAAATT